AAAGACAAGTTCTGCTAAATCTGTGTAGTTCTTCTGCAATTATTTCAAGCAAGGTATTTCGTTCCCTTCGATCTTTCATTTGGTAGAGCGGAGGACTGTAGGTTCATAATGTCGGTAATCCTTAGGTCTCGGGCTCGAAGGAGGTGATTTATGTTTGTGTCGGCTCCGATTGACGAGATAAAAAGCTGAGATGGGTTTCTTTGCTTCGTATGTTCAGACAAGCTTAGCATGTCCACATCCAGCGATATCAGGTAAAACACAAAGGCAAGTTCTGCTAAATCTCTATTGTTCTTCTGCAGTTATTTCAAGCAGGTATGTATGACTTTAGTCATGTGTGTACCAGTTTTAATCAAGCGTGTGAATAGTGTAATACAGTTGGGTGTTTGTCATGGTCATGTCCATGTAACTGGCTGTCTTCATCCCTATTTCATTCCCTTCGATCTTTCAGTTGGTAGAGCGGAGGACTGTAGGTTCATAATGTCGGTAATCCTTAGTAATCAAGTATGTAAATAGTATAATACAGTTTGATGTTCAGGAGGTGACTTATGTTTGTGTCGGCTCCGACTGACGAGATAAGAGGCCGAGATGGGTTTCTTTCTGAACATTTGCTTCGTATGTTCAGACAAGCTTAGCATGTCCACATCCAGCGATATCAGGTAAAACACAAAGGCATGTTCTGCTAAATCTGTGTAGTTCATCTGCAATTATTTCAAGCAGGTATGTATGACTTTAGTGATGTGTGTACCAGTTTTAATCAAGCGTGTGAATAGTGTAATACAGTTTGATGTTCAGGAGGTGACTTATGTTTGTGTCGGCTCCGACTGACGAGATAAGAGGCCGAGATGGGTTTCTTTCTGAACATTTGCTTCGTATGTTCAGACAAGCTTAGCATGTCCACATCCAGCGATATCAGGTAAAACACAAAGGCATGTTCTGCTAAATCTGTGTAGTTCATCTGCAATTATTTCAAGCAGGTATGTATGACTTTAGTCATGTGTGTACCAGTTTTAATCAAGCGTGTGAATAGTGTAATACAGTTGGGTGTTTGTTATGGTCATGTCCATGAAACTGGATGTCTTCATGCATATTTTGTTCCCTTCGATAGCTCAGTTGGTAGAGCGGAGGACTGTAGGTTCATAATGTCAGTAATCCTTAGGTCGCTGGTTCAATTCCGGCTCGAAGGAGGTGATTTATGTTTGTGTCGGCTCCGACTGACGAGATAAAAAGCTGAGATGGGTTTCTTTGCTTCGTATGTTCAGACAAGCTTAGCATGTCCACATCCAGCGATATCAGGTAAAACACAACGGCAAGTTCTGCTAAATCTGGCTGTCTTCATCCCTATTTCATTCCCTTCGATCTTTCAGTTGGTAGAGCGGAGGACTGTAGGTTCATAATGTCGGTAATCCTCATCAAAAAATGATTTATGTTTGTGTCGGATCCGACTGATGAGATAAAAAGCTGAGATGGGTTTCTTTGCTTCGTATGTTCAGACAAGCTTAGCATGTCCACATCCAGCGATATCAGGTAAAACACAAAGGCAAGTTCTGCTCAATCTCTATTGTTCTTCTGCAGTTATTTCAAGCAGGTATGTATGACTTTAGTCATGTGTGTACCAGTTTTAATCAAGCGTGTGAATAGTGTAATACAGTTGGGTGTTTGTCATGGTCATGTCCATGTAACTGGCTGTCTTCATCCCTATTTCATTCCCTTCGATCTTTCAGTTGGTAGAGCGGAGGACTGTAGGTTCATAATGTCGGTAATCCTTAGGTCTCAGGCTTGAAGGAGGTGATTTATGTTTGTAATGGTTCCGACTGACGAGATAAAAAGCTGAGATGGGTTTCTTTGGTTCATTTTGTTCAGACAAGCTTAGCTTGTCCACATCCAGCGGTAGCAGGTATGACAAAAAGCCAAGTGCTGCTAATTCTGTAATTATTTCAAGCAGGTAATTATGACTTTAGTCACGAGTGTACCAGTTTTAATCAAGTATGTAAATAGTATAATACAGTTTGATGTTCAGGAGGTGACTTATGTTTGTGTCGGCTCCGACTGACGAGATAAGAGGCCGAGATGGGTTTCTTTCTGAACATTTGCTTCGTATGTTCAGACAAGCTTAGCATGTCCACATCCAGCGATATCAGGTAAAACACAAAGGCAAGTTCTGCTAAATCTGTGTAGTTCATCTGCAATTATTTCAAGCAGGTATGTATGACTTTAGTCATGTGTGTACCAGTTTTAATCAAGCGTGAATAGTGAAATACAGTTGGGTGTTTGTCATAGTCATGTCCATGTAACTGGCTGTCTTCATGCATGTTTTGTTCCCTTCGATAGCTCAGTTGGTAGAGCGGAGGACTGTAGGTTCAAAATGTCAGTAATCCTTAGGTCGCTGGTTCAATTCCGGCTCGAAGGAGGTGATTTATGTTTGTTTCGACTGACGAGATAAAAAGCTGAGATGGGTTTCTTTGCTTCGTATGTTCAGACAAGTTTAGCGTGTCCACATCCAGCGATATCAGGTAAAACACAAAGACAAGTTCTGCTAAATCTGTGTAGTTCTTCTGCAATTATTTCAAGCAAGGTATTTCGTTCCCTTCGATCTTTCATTTGGTAGAGCGGAGGACTGTAGGTTCATAATGTCGGTAATCCTTAGGTCTCGGGCTCGAAGGAGGTGATTTATGTTTGTGTCGGCTCCGATTGACGAGATAAAAAGCTGAGATGGGTTTCTTTGCTTCATATGTTCAGACAAGCTTAGCATGTCCACATCCAGCGATATCAGGTAAAACACAAAGGCAAGTTCTGCTAAATCTCTATTGTTCTTCTGCAGTTATTTCAAGCAGGTATGTATGACTTTAGTCATGTGTGTACCAGTTTTAATCAAGCGTGTGAATAGTGTAATACAGTTGGGTGTTTGTCATGGTCATGTCCATGTAACTGGCTGTCTTCATCCCTATTTCATTCCCTTCGATCTTTCAGTTGGTAGAGCGGAGGACTGTAGGTTCATAATGTCGGTAATCCTTAGGTCTCAGGCTCGAAGGAGGTGATTTATGTTTGTAATGGTTCCGACTGACGAGATAAAAAGCTGAGATGGGTTTCTTTGGTTCATTTTGTTCAGACAAGCTTAGCTTGTCCACATCCAGCGGTAGCAGGTATGACAAAAAGCCAAGTGCTGCTAATTCTGTAATTATTTCAAGCAGGTAATTATGACTTTAGTCACGAGTGTACCAGTTTTAATCAAGTATGTAAATAGTATAATACAGTTTGATGTTCAGGAGGTGACTTATGTTTGTGTCGGCTCCGACTGACGAGATAAGAGGCCGAGATGGGTTTCTTTCTGAACATTTGCTTCGTATGTTCAGACAAGCTTAGCATGTCCACATCCAGCGATATCAGGTAAAACACAAAGGCATGTTCTGCTAAATCTGTGTAGTTCATCTGCAATTTTTTCAAGCAGGTATGTATGACTTTAGTGATGTGTGTACCAGTTTTAATCAAGCGTGTGAATAGTGTAATACAGTTTGATGTTCAGGAGGTGACTTATGTTTGTGTCGGCTCCGACTGACGAGATAAGAGGCCGAGATGGGTTTCTTTCTGAACATTTGCTTCGTATGTTCAGACAAGCTTAGCATGTCCACATCCAGCGATATCAGGTAAAACACAAAGGCATGTTCTGCTAAATCTGTGTAGTTCATCTGCAATTATTTCAAGCAAGGTATTTCGTTCCCTTCGATCTTTCATTTGGTAGGGCGGAGGACTGTAGGTTCATAATGTCGGTAATCCTTAGGTCTCGGGCTCGAAGGAGGTGATTTATGTTTGTGTCGGATCCGACTGATGAGATAAAAAGCTGAGATGGGTTTCTTTGTTTCGTATGTTCAGACAAGCTTAGCATGTCCACATCCAGCGATATCAGGTAAAACACAAAGGCAAGTTCTGCTAAATCTGTGTAGTTCATCTGCAATTATTTCAAGCAGGTATGTATGACTTTAGTCATGTGTGTACCAGTTTTAATCAAGCGTGAATAGTGTAATACAGGTGGGTGTTTGTCATGGTCATGTCCATGTAACTGGCTGTCTTCATGCATGTTTTGTTCCCTTCGATAGCTCAGTTGGTAGAGCGGAGGACTGTAGGTTCAAAATGTCAGTAATCCTTAGGTCGCTGGTTCAATTCCGGCTCGAAGGAGGTGATTTATGTTTGTGTCGGTTCCGACTGACGAGATAAAAAGCTGAGATGGGTTTCTTTGCTTCGTATGTTCAGACAAGTTTAGCGTGTCCACATCCACCGATATCAGGTAAAACACAAAGACAAGTTCTGCTAAATCTGTGTAGTTCTTCTGCAATTATTTCAAGCAGGGTATTTCGTTCCCTTCGATCTTTCATTTGGTAGAGCGGAGGACTGTAGGTTCATAATGTCGGTAATCCTTAGGTCTCGGGCTCGAAGGAGGTGATTTATGTTTGTGTCGGCTCCGACTGACGAGATAAAAAGCTGAGATGGGTTACTTTGCTTCGTATGTTCAGACAAGCTTAGCATGTCCACATCCAGCGATATCAGGTAAAACACAACGGCAAGTTCTGCTAAATCTGGCTGTCTTCATCCCTATTTCATTCCCTTCGATCTTTCAGTTGGTAGAGCGGAGGACTGTAGGTTCATAATGTCGGTAATCCTTAGGTCGCTGGTTCAGTTCCGGCTCAAAGGACATGATTTATGTTTTTGTCGGATCCGACTGATGAGATAAAAAGCTGAGATGGGTTTCTTTGTTTCGTATGTTCAGACAAGCTTAGCATGTCCACATCCACCGATATCAGCTAAAACACAAAGACAAGTTCTGCTAAATTTGTGTAGTTATTCTGCAAGTCGAGTTAAGCTACTAATCTTGTTTTGTGATACTGGCCCTTGGTTATGTGCGTGTGTGGTGTATGTTTCTCCCTTCACATTCCACTGAAGTGTGACCCCTCTCTCAAGTCCACTCTGTTTTTTGCATACCGGACATCTGATCACACAGTGATGCATCATGTGTTTGACAATTTATTGACATAAGATGTGGCACTGTGACAATAACAAATCATTTACAACAGGGTTACAGCAATGATGATAGAAATATTCCATTTCATACCATGCTGCGGTAGCTCTCTCTATAGATTCAGTTTTATTGGAAACCATTTTGTATATACTTCTATTTGTGGGAGTGCTTGAGACAATGCTGCGTAAAAAAAAAAATTTGCTCTACAGCAGAGACATGAGGTTGGGAGAGGAGTAAAATTAAAAAGGATAAAATTGACAGTGGGCTCATGCAGGCTCATAAACATATTTTTACATTACCATGTGGGAAAATAGTGTCACCAATACAACTGATACGTCGAAAAAGCCTTCACTTTTGAATAGATAAGAGGCAAAGCTTCATTTCATTTTCAGGGGAATACCAAAACATTTTTATGTATTAGCTACACAAACTACACCATCACTGAAATACACTGTACTAGAGCAACTCTGGGTCTTAGGGCGTATGTGCCCCAATGTACAATATCACAAACAACGCCAACATTTGAAGGTTATATTGACACCGGGGTACTCAAACATAGGCTTTCATTTCATTTGCGTGGATGCTTGGTCTTGTGAGATCGGTTTGGCTGACCTGCCACACATTTAGCTCGCTTGACAACAATGGCATTAAGATTACAAAAGCAGCACTAGTATTAAAAGAAAACGGTGGAAACATTTAAAGCACATTACAGAATTGAAGCTAATGCAACAATAAAGCCAGTTAAAAAGGAAACAAGCAGAGGTAGATGCACAATAAATAGGAATGACAATGTAGGTGTGAAAAGCCGTGTACAACTGTGGTTGCAGAGAACGAAAAGGAGTGGCCCTGGTGTGTTAACACAAACAGTAGTTACTGTGGGTTTGTATAGTTGTTCAAATCCAACGAACAGAAACTTTCAAGTTGAAAATAATGGCTGCCTGGCAATTTTGCCCGAGAATTTAATATACTGCACTTGCTAATCAGAAGCTTCTTGACAGTCTGTTCTTCTGGCGGTTTGCATCCCTCCACTTACACAGCCTGCATGTAACTGGATGTATTTTTGATTTTTTAATTAAGTAAACTTGTGATCTATTATTCCAGGTCAATTGAAGTTTCTTCACATGGCCTAAATATTTCTTTTCTTTTTGTTTTTACTATTCCCAATTGTATCCCCGCCAACTGTCTTTATGTTTTTTTTTATTTGACCATTAAAAACACCAAAAAGAAAAAGCTTTAAAATATTCCCAAGCCATTTACACGAAGCTGAGGTGAAAAGGGTGGAGTGTTAGTAAAGACAGAATGTGCTGAAGGCTTATGGAAAGATCAAATGCTGGACCTGTATCACCTGCGGTGGGAAGCAGCAATGAAATTTTACCACACACACACACACACACACACACACACACACAGTAAGTAATCCTATTAAAAACAAGCAGCCTTGTTAAAAGTCATGACAGGAATAACTGCAACACATATGCTGCTCAACGTTATGTATATTTGTCAATTCAACGTTGTCTCAAGAAACGGTATTTGAACTCCAGGAGGCAAATCTACTGTAGGACAGAGAGTAGTAGCTTCTGACAAACACAGTGTTGGTTTTGACTCTTCACATGCACATTAATGGCAATAGGAACAAAACTGGTATTATTATGAGGGTACAACTGAAGCAAAGCAAGTATCAAAAATAAAGTGTGAGCCACACAGTACAAATAAACAGTTTTACCTTCAGTCACATCTTTACAACATTAAGACACTAAGTTAAGGATGGAATGGTAGACATGTTTTTACTGGGAGGCAAAAATCGAAATGGGGAGTTGTAATCATGCTTTCAACTGCCAAAATAAAGGAAACATCAACAGTGTTAGTACTATAACTTCAGTACAATATACAGAACTACAGTATGGTGATCACAGCAGAACACATTTGTATTAACTGACATTTGCCTTGTTGATCTCTGAGGAAAAATACACCCAATATTCCAAAAAAAGATTTAGTATTTATCATTTACTGTTTGGATTCCCTTGTTTTGGCAGTTAGCTACAGTTGGCAAAAAAAATTATGAATGACTGCGGTTTGTTGTGAGGATGAAGCAGAGTTGCTAAGTGTTAGAGCAGGTCAATTCTTCAGCACAGCATCGTACATCTGATAGACGTACTGAGAAACCTCAGGGGCCCGACACTTGAGAGACAGCTGTGGAAACGAAGAGAGGACAGAGAGTTACTTACAACGGGAGACACCTTCACTCATACATACTATCGAAAAGACGCTGTTTTAAGATAAAAGTCAATTCTGTCTTTAAATTACTTAGACTGCACAGCTGATGAATGCATAGTCATGAAGGCCATCGCACAATTGAATAGCTGAATGAGAGAAAAATGTCAATATTTCATTCAAAATGATACTAAGTTTGCATCAGACTGCAGATTTTACTCCTGTGAGCGTTTGTGAAATGTCACTCTGATCTAGTGCTCGCCTTGTTTTCCTATCAGTAAAAAAGGGACTTGATTCTCTTTGTTAACACAAAATGAAGAAAATTTGCAAGTCATTCCAAACAGATAATCATGACAGCAAATCATCCAAAAAGTTATGAGACGATGCATTTTGGATTTGCCATTCATTCAACACAAAAATTGAGTGAGTAAACTGCAGCATTTTTAGGTAGTTACTAAATTGAATAAAATTGATCATTGCTCTGGATTACTTATTGCTTAGCGTAGAATCAATTATTACAGGCAGACAAGCTGATGCATAGTGGTTACTATAGTATTTCTACTTTCACATAACACGGAATTAAAGCTGAACCAATTAGTCAATTGGAAGAAAAATAATAAATAAAATGCTTCAGACTCTGGATCCTCCTCTTCAATGTGAAGATTTGCTGCTTTTATATCACTGTAAACTGAATGTCTTTGGGTTTTGGACGAAACATGAGACATTTTGAGGATTAAAATATATTTTACATGAAAAAGTCATAAAATATAAAATATATGCATAGAAAATCTAAATACCTACTTTATCACAGAGACACACCTACATCTACGACATAAAAGTACTTCCCCACCCCACACACAACTACTAACTAACTAACAGCCTTTGGGTAGTTTTCCTATTGATAATTATAGACAGTTAGTGTTTACACAGACTGAAATTTTCAAAATACTTTGGTAGAGTTCACAATAACAGACACACACGAGTGTTGGGTACTATTGTATGATTTCTTATAATTATAAATCACAACAAACACAATGTGTGAAACAGCTACAAACGTATTAAACATGATCAATGATCCCTTTCTAACCAACTGTCACCTGGAATATAATATTATGAGGCCATACACAGAATCACTACACATTAATGGCTGGTTGTTTTCCCACAAATTATGTGCAAATAATTGAACATCAAACAAACAAAGCTGAAGGCTGTCATAGTAAAAACTGATTGTTGAATACTGTACCGTGTAGTTGGGGTTGCCAGGCTGAATACGGAGCTCAGCCAAGATCCAGATGCCATTGGTTAGCTTGAGGGACTGGTAGAGCATATCCTGGCCTTCTACATTTCTCTTGGCAATGGTGTAGATGTTGTTATTCTGTAGCTTCCCTGATACTGTGTCTGCAATACCAGAATCAAGGGCAAGTAAGTAACACACCATGCCACTTGGTGCTACCGTCTAATTACTGAACAAAAAGAAACAACATGAAACACACACACACACACACACACACACACACACGGCTGTAATCACTACTGGAACCGTCATAACTATAGGCGCTAACACTAATGCACATGACATAATGCAAACTCTACAGCTGGCAAAGGGCTTATGGTAAATTAGCTCTATGAGGATTTTAATGAAGTGTGACTGGCACCCTTCAGACGAGGTATTCTACAACACTGTACCATGATAAGAAAAACCACCGTGGGTTATTAGCCTTCCTGTTGCCAGGATAATAGTGGCACAATTATGGGCAACTTCTAAAAGTAAAGAAGTTGAAACAGTCCTTTAGGTACAAAGGTAGAAGAAATGTTGAAGTATCCCAAGAGAGGCATGTGGGTGGAAAAAGAAAACAGACAAAAGGGTAAGATCTTTGTATGGTTGTCAGTCCAGACGTGATTTCTGATGACATTTCCTTAAAGTGATACTGAGGCCAGTGCTGGGATGAGCATATTTGTTTTCAACGTCAAGCCTGAAGCCTGCTGCGGGATCAAAAGTGCAGTAAATTCAGAATTATCAATGCTGCATGAGGAAGACCACTGAGCTCTAAATGTGTTGCCCACTCAACCGCATGTTTAGTAAAGCCACTCTGATTGATAAATAATGTCATGTTTTGCCAGCGAGGAACTTTCTATTGCTTTATGTTGTCTCCTGTTGTCTTTAGCCCGTCATCTTTGTGCAGGCTTGCTGCCTTGGCAAACTCATCATAATCAAATCTGTTTTAAAAGAACAAGACATTAAAAAAAACAAAAATGCTGCATGACTGAGGGAAATTTATTCACGAACATGTTTACCTGCATTTAGGTGGCACTCCTTTATCTGGTACTGTAGCTCATTCTCATTGGGGATGTCTTTCCAGGTAGCCAGGAACACCTGTCGCTCTGAAGAAGGAAAAAATCCCCCAAAAAACTTATCAACATGATGTGGGAGCTGAGAATTCATTTCCACACAGAGAATCACTACACATTATTGGCTGGTTGATAAATACATAAGAAAATAATGAGCATTCTTTTTGCTTATGGTGCTTAGTACTTACTTGGTGCTTAGAGTCTTAAACTCTACAGAATATATATTTTATAAACCAATGTGAGAACTATATGAATAAATATGTATTTTCCAGTTAATATTTTATTCCTGCTTCAGTGGTTGTGAAAGATATTATTTACCACTGATGTAAGGGTGTGAAGAAATGTGATGTTGTAACAATCATACCCATTTTTCCATCTTCAACAAAGAATATGTTGAGAGGGATAAGTACGCTGAAGTAGAAGACATCGATGCTGTTCTTCACAGCCACCTGTGTACAAATAAACAAAAGAGAACGTGGGTTTGACATTAGATGAATGTGTTCCAACGCTCCTTGTTCTCGTCATGCTTGTTTTGTAAGGCTGAGATGCGCCGAGCTGTAAATTATCGTCAAAAGCAATGCTTAAATTTCATATCAATGTCTCTGTCCACTTCGCACAAAAACTGCTTTGTAAACTCGAACAGTAGAGAAGGGAAAACATGGTAGGGGAAACACTGGGGCGTATTTGTTTGGTAGCTCAACAATCCTTCTGCAGAATCACTTAATCTCCCTTTAAGTACTCTGTACCTTCCTTCACCTCCACCTATTTTGAAAGGGAATAAACAGCAATTTTTTTTCTGTACCTTTTAATTGTGTTTTCAAATGTCTGAGGAGCGAGTGCTTCTGTACCTGCAGATTATTAAGTGGGTCCATTTTCATGACTGGCCCAACGGTGTTGATCGGCAAAGAGACCTCAATACTCTGGCTGGGCATCAGCGGAGTGTGAATGGGCAAAGGACTGGTAGGGATCATCCCAAAACTACATGTAGGAAACAAACCAACAAATAAAAATTAAACATCTGTGACATTCAGTTCCAATATTAAATTACAATATATGCACTCAGTTGTCAATTTATGAGGTACGAGCTAAAACAAAATCAGTCTAATACAGCAGCTTTATTGTTTCAGAGTGATGATGATTTAACTGCAGGGTAATTATGTTGTAGCTGAACACAGCGACTCATCTCACTGACCTGTTCTTGTTGAACTGAACAGCGAAGTCGGTCATGTGCTGCAGGGCCTTGTTTGTGAAGGTCATGTCCATGTACATGTGACCCTGGCGGCGAGAGAAGGTGCCAGAGATCTCCAGTCCCTTAGCTTTCACTGCAGGCAGCCACACCTGGTGAAAAGGTACCAGTTTAATTAATTCTATAGATGCTAATAGTAGTTTTTTTAACCACATGTAGGTACATTGCCTGACCATGAAAGGTCTCACATTTCCATGAAAGTGTTCAGACATTAGCACTGCGTGAAAAAAATGCAGTCACCCCATTGATGTCAATGCCACCACAAAAACACTTTTCCAGCAATAAAAAATAAAAAATAAAACTTCTGCTACATCACAATGCAATACTGCAAACTGTGAAGGACAACCAAATACATGCAAGTGTACACGCCTGGAAAAATTACTTTGTAACAGTATAACACCATATTCTACCTTTGAATCATCACAACACAGGACAACATTATTGTCACCTTCATCTTTCCGGAGTTTTAAGTCAAAGTTTTAATGTCAGACTTTAAGTCTCATATTATTACTGTATAAAACACAACTCAGTCTGGTCCACAATATGCTCAAAAACAATGAAACAACTAGTAAATGTCTTTTTATTGACTCACCACATACTACTGCTGTAGTGTTACGTTATGCAAAAGTGAATCCTGAACAGTGAAATGATTACATTAAATTACAGCTCAGGAAATTAGACTGAAATTATTTGCGATTTTGAAAAAGTATAAAATAACTCACTGCTTTTGGGGCTACATAGCCCCCAGTAGTGATGGCCATGCCTGTGGAAAGCTCAAACAAGTCGTTGAGGCCGCTGCTGACGGCTGGAGGCGCTGGTGTAGGTGACGGAGCAAAAGTACTGGGGACAGATGAGGGGATGAAGTTCTGTCCCACCTAAAGCGATCACAACAAAAACACACAATCTAAGTAATTTTAGTAAACATCATTGGCAACTTGACAATTTTCTATAAGTCTACAAAGAGAATCACACAGACAGGCTGAAGTCATGCCAGAGGAAGAAACAATTAATAAAACTCTCCAGTGTTTATGTGGAAAAAAACATTTGAATGTGAAAATTTGATTATGTGATTATGTGACTTATGTGATAAGTCCTTATGAAAAAGAGTGTGAACAACCTGTGGTTTTGTGTGTTTTAGCCCATTTATTACAAAGCTATAATGATCATACCATTTTGTTTTAGATTTTTGAAGGTTATGACTGCAGCCTTTTCAGTCAGCACTTGCAAAAATAACAAAAGCTGACATTAAGTTCCTTGTGTTGGATATTTAACTCAAGCAAATTTCAAGTAATAATAGTAAAGTAACCAAATATGCTGGGGGAAAAAAGTGCAAAAAAATCTACTATGGTACACTTAACAAATACTTTCTAGTTGAGTCTAGAGACTCTTCAGACTTTTCAGATAAATTCTGGAACAGGTGTGGAAAGTACTGAATTTTGAATTTTACGGCTCTGATTCGCAGCTCTCACTAGCTTCTACTACATAGCAACTATGACCGAGGCTCATCAGTAACTAAGTCTTTAGGACAATAGCCATGACAAGATGAAGGGGGACAAAATGTGATTTCTCAGAAACAGAGTTTAAATAATTAAAACTGGTAGCCACAACGTAAACCTACTGTCTAGGATTGTTACAAATGGCAAGTTGGGAGAAAATACTTTTGAACCAGCAGCTTCTCCATTCAGGTGTACAAAAGATTTATCTTTAAATCCAAGCGAAGGATAGAACTTTCAAACTAAAGCACGTTCATATAAGGCCTATCTAAATAAAGATGACTGCTAGTGAAACTTGTCGGATGGTTCTTTTCAGCCAGAAAATGGGCTAAAACATGCAAAACATCCGTGTGGTCTTCTAACTGAAAATGTAAGAGTGTAAGACAGAGAAGCCAGGTTTAAAAAACATGGTGAAAACTTGAAGAAGCTGGTTTGAGAGTGTGGTGGGTTTAATTCAGAGAGCATGCAAACAGGTAGACAGCCAATCAGAAGGGCTGGACTTACAGCTGGACTTCCCCCAACACCTCCGCCCAGGTCTCCCCCCAGCTACAGGAGAGAAGAGAGGCCCCCAAAGTCAGCATCCAAACATCATAGACAGATCGAACACACAAAGACAGAGACAAAGACTTTTTAGCAGCTGCAAACTATTAAGAGGTGCCCTCACTTTCTGGGAATGTAGCAACTCTCTGCATGGTATGTTAGACATTAAAAAAAGATATTAAAATCTGCAAGAATATTATAAAGAAGTCCAGTTATTCCAGCGGCTTGGAGAAATGGAAAAGTGACTATTAACATAGGAAAAATACAGCAACTGACAGAGATTTTTGATGGAAAAAATAATTGTGTTTATTAGGGCTGACCCCAAATAGTCGAAGATTCGATGCATCGATGGGCGGAGCCTGATTCGACTGTCAATCTCACAGTCGAAGCTTCGCAACGACACAAGGATCATGCCATTTTGACGATAATTTATGGTGGAAATGTTTTGATTTATGTAAACAAAATTCAGGTGGCAGGCGACAATTGAAAATCCAAAAATAAAAGAGAATGGAAAAAGAAACTGTCAAGAATTTGTTACAGTTACTGTCAGGTGCTGCATGTTTTGGGGTCATTTTATAATTAGTAGCTTGATTTAAGTTAAATAAATCAATAAGTGCAAATTAAATTTCTCAAATCCTTTTCATTTATTATTTAACATTTCTTGTTGCAAGCTATTCAGAAAAGTGGTGGGTACATGTCCCCAGTGTAAACAACACCAATATCGACACATTTTTCTCCTGTTGACTTTAACCTTCCTTACATGTAGCCTACTGTTCTGCCTCTGGTCTCCATAAATTAACAATTACCTTAGCTAACATTAATGGTTAATAAAAGCAGTCTAAATTATAAAATTGTTAACATTACTGTATCTGACAGAACAGTTAATATTGAAAGCTAGCTTACTTATGTCTTACATCAGGCTTGCTTTCCGACCGTTTCAGCAGTAACGTCCTAACATGTTCAGCTGTCAGACTCTGCAGTGTAGCGGACTTGAAAAAAGACCTACTCTGCCTCTGATTGGCTGTCACGTTTAGCCATTAGACGAGACGATTGGTTAGGCATATGTAGCTGTACATTTGCAAAGCTCACGCTAGAGTGGACTCGGTAGATATAACCATAACTGACCCAACGACCCACCCCCCTCTTGCTACAAAATATTTTCTCATCTTATCTGTGCAACACATGTAGGTGACGCATTTTGGTTTCAAAACGGTGATTTTTACCGAAGGGTGAGGAGTTTGAATGCCTGAAATATGTAAAACTGGGTCACAAATTGACATTTTTATTTTTATTTAAAAAGTGCTGAATGGGGATTTAGAAATGATGTGTGTATGTCAAGCGACAGATATAAATGTGTGTTAATTACAGCTGTAGAGATTTTGTGGGGTGAGTGGCTGTAATCAACTTGTTATCCTTTGTACTCCTCATGCCAAACCATTAGTCAAGGTAAGCAGACACATTGGTACAAAAAACAAGGAAGCATAGAAAGCTGATTGGGTCTTCAGCAAAGTTTAGCCAATGCCTGCACTCTATAGCAAAATGAATGTGTTTGTGTGATTTCAAGCTCACCAAGCTGTCCAGGCCTCCTCCCAGAAGGTCCACTGCACCCATCTGCATGGATGAGACCTGGGGCACATTGACTGGAGGGCCCAGGTCCAGGTTCAGCAGATCACCCAGCAGGTCACCCTGACTGGGAATTACATGTGGCTGGTCCATGGCAGCTGCCGGCCCACTGCTCACTGGGCTCTCGCCTGTATCAATGCTGTCATTGGAAAAGAAACAGTAGTACTGGTAAGGGAAAGTATTTGCAGAAGTCCATCACCAACACAAATGTGGTAAAAACTTAAATTCAAAAGCTGATGATACCCGGGGCAACTTTTTTAGCAATGTTGCTGGGCAATCCGACTATGTTTTGAACGGATAGCGGCGGTGCGGGGCAGGTGGAAGAGTGGTGGGGGAAGGAGATTACAGTAGTAAGCTTTACTCATTACCATTGATGGCAACGTTGCCCTGCACGATTGCTCTAAAAGTTGCTCTGTGTATTATCAGTGTCAGAGTCATGCAAGTATAATCAAAGGGCACACAACTGCCAGTAGAAAAGCTGAAATGTGGGTCCGCCACGATGTGCACAGTGTGTCTGACCTGCTGTGCTGCACAGGAAGGTGTTTCCGGTGGACTCCGTGGCTGCCCTCAACAAACGCACTGGGGGGTTTGTGATAGACTGAAGCCAGGGAGCCAATGTGGCAGATGAGCTCGTCCAGGAGGGTGGGCTCAATGAGGTCCGTCTCCTCTGAGATCAGGGGCTTTTCTGACAACACCACCTCCTTGGCTGTCACTGGGTCAGTGGACAACAGGCGCCAATAAATATAGCCCCTGTCACGCAGATCAGGGTTGTCAGAGTCCTGCAGAGGAGCAGAGAGTTCATCATGTGCTGAAAAGTTTCCCATTGCATTTAATTAGGGTAAGAATTAGATCATGTGGACCCCAGTTGGATCAGCTGTTACTATGATGGTAGCTAACAGAGGTCCAACTTAACTAAACAAGCAATTGTCAATTGTATAAAAATAGTAAACAATACTTTGATATGTAACAGAAAGTGATGCCTTTCAGATGTCAGACTGTATGAGCTGAGCAAAAACAAACCCCAGATATTTACAGGACTGCGTAAGAGCAGAAAAATGGCAACATAATCCAGCAGTGAAGAAATAAATCATCAAAATCAGAATCAGACTCAGACTCAGTGCAACATGCATTTCTTTCAGAATAAAAGACAACATTCACCTGAGTGGCCAGACTGAGCACCTGCTGCACCAACTCCTGAGTCTCTGATGGCTTCTTAAGGAACAGCTTTACGATGGCAGTCAGCAGAGTGAGCTGCACCTGTAAATCAAAGCACACCTGGTTATATTATGGTCAAAGCCCCTCAAAATTTGAAATAAGTACGGAAATAGCCAAATAAGGCAAAGCGTGATCATGTCCACACTGTTACGGTTGCCATGAAGGCCTTGTTGGATCCACATAGAAACAGCTGACAGCTTACAGAATCAACAACAATGTACACAGAAAAAACACTGCTCCAATGTTTGCTCAACAAGGACAGAAATGGTTTATGTCACTGGTACTGGTAGGTTGCATTCTGGGCATGGTTTTAAAAAAAATGCCAGTTTACAGACCACCTTTGTTCAACTTTGACCAACCCTACTACTTATTATCATAATATATTTAATAATAATAATAATAATAATAATCTGGCTAAACTGTTGGATTATTTACAACCTGTCTGAAAGTCTGACTGCTCGTGTCTCTTGCCTCGTCAAGACAACCCCAATCATCTGGTCTTCCTAAATCTCATCCTTTCAATACGAACTCAGAAGATGGATGTATTATATTGGATAAGCTGACAAAACTATAACATATACTACAATATATTTTAAATCTGTGTAAAACATATACCGCTACAAAATGAGGCTTTTAGGACAGCTGTGGAATTTTCCAAAACAGAGTAACTTGGTGAACTTGATGTTTAAGATTCTGTATGTACACAATTCAAGTGCACCTCAGTTAATTGCCAGTGAAAAACCTGCCATGTGCTTTTATTTTTGATGAACCCACCTGGGTGCTCTCATCATGGAAGCCTTCGAGGAAGCTCTCCAGCAACTCGTCGGCGTTGTCGATCCTCTCTGCGTACTCGCCAACAATCCAGATCATGGCAGCACGAGCATCAGGCTCGTCCAGAGAGTCCAGATTCTCACACAGTGTGGCAATGATGCTTTCATACCTGAAAAACACCAGTAAATTCTGCAGTCAGACTGAAGCTTTACAAGCAGCTTACATCTTCAATGTACAATGTATACTAAATATAGCGATTAGAGACACCCATGGATGGACTATCTCAACTAACAATGTTTTGTCAAAGGACTGTTTGTTAATTGTGGTTATTTGTTACGCAACTCTGAAGAGTTCAGTGGGAAACATACTTGTTGGGGTACTTGCGGAAGATGTCTCTGATGACTACAATAGCCTCCTGAACCACGTAGTTGACCTTGGTCTGGATCAGGTCCAGCAGGGTGCTGACACAGCGCTCAGCTGATTGCTAGAGAGGAACAGAACAAAGGCACCATGTCACCAATACTCAGGGGAAAAGGTCATAACTCATAAAGCAACTTATCGCTTAAATTTGTTTGCAGTGGCCCGAAGTATCGCTAAATACAGAACAATTTGAATTACACCAAATCGGAATGAGGTGAGAAAATTAATAAACTAAACTGCTAAACAGATTCGGTCAGATTTCTGTTGCATGCAATTAAGATGGATTATAAAAGTTGAAGCTACAACCGTGGCTTAAGTGAATAAAGATTCTTGTGTAACACACATGAGAAGACTTGAGTGTAGAGTTCGGCAATATGAGCATTTCTTACCTCCACTTTGATGGCACAGCGTCCAATGGCTCGTACAGCCTTGCGTACAAAGTCAACATCCACCTCCGTGGCGTATTCCTTCAGTTCAGCCAGCACCTGAAAGTGACAGAGAAGTGCAGTGAAATATACTGTATGTGTGCACAATACAACTCCACACACATATTTACCAGTTTATTTTTAGTTGTGATTAAATTCCATTGATTTTGTTCCAGTCTGTCAAAATGATGCATTTTAGCTTGACCTTTTATTAACAATGGACAACATGATTTGAACAAAAAGTTAATATATTAATCTAGTTCACCTTAATGCATATACAAAACTTACTGCATATACAAAAAGCACAATACTGAAAACAAATATTGTTTTTTTTGAGTCCTAAAAGGCCAAATACCATACTGAAATTCAATATATTTCACTCCATCCAATCACACATGAAAAATACATCCTCTATGCAGATACGTAGAAAGAACATTTGTTGCTACAAACCATAATTGTTAAAGAAAGTATTTGTGTTTCATATAAGGTACCTGGGCAATGTTAGCCTGAGAGGCCAAGCGGATCATGATGTCCAGCTTCTCCAGTTTTACATAGATAGGGTCGTTGTACTTGACGAAGAACACCTTGATCTCCTGCTTCAGGATCTCAGGCCTGCAGACAAGCAGATCATTACACATTAGACTGTGGGAAGATCCAGAAGAAACGAGAGGATCAGAGGAATTTGGGTGTGATTGTACTCACTATGAACTACATCTGAAAAACAGTAATATTCTATTTGAGGACATTTACATATTCATAAACGGCGGATGTTCCTTTTAAATGGGGCCACTACCGGCTCATACTGGAAGAGAGCGTTGTATTATGGGTTACCCTCATGCTGCTAGGGTTACAAATTCCTACCTACGTGTCTGCTGACCAAGCCCAATATACTAAATAAATATCAGTTAGAAGGTGGTAGCAAAACATGCGCAGTCAGAGAAAAATGCTTGAGCATGTGTGAATATTTCACAAAAACATATATCAAAGGAATGCCAAATTTCAGAGATGTTATTTAGTTGTAACCTCAGGAAATCACCAAACAGCTGAATCCACTGGGCAATGATGATTTCTTTTTTACTACGTCTTGTCTACTAACTGTTTCAAATGTGATTTTTTATTTTTAATTACTTATTGTAGTTTCATTCACACATAATGTTTAAAACATGTTAAAATGGCATATATCCCTACATTTTTCTTCAAATATAATTCAAATAAAAGTATTTTAAAAAGTATTTAAACCAACACAGTATATAATGGGTAGTAGCGATATGAAATTTGCTGCAGGAGAAAATCCAGCACACCTTTTCTGGACAATGAGATTGATGTTCCTCAGGGCCACATACTGGACCTCAGGCTCTCCAGAGAGCAAGGTGACCAGTGGTGGGGATAACTTCTTCAGCAACGTGTTGTAGTAGTCTGAGTCCTTGGGCAGCAGCTCCAAGAACTTCATCAGCACCTTGACTGCTGACAGCACCACGGCTGAGTTGGCGTGAGACAGCCGGGGAGTAACACGCTCACAGATGCTTTGAATGGGAGGGAGGGAGGGACAGGTGAGTCAGTAATGAAAATGAAGGGAACATTAATCCTGAATAAAGTGAGTCATCATTTAAAAAAGGAAGAGTGGTGTAGTGGTTACGTAATACTACTTCTTATGCATGTTTTTGGGGCATCTTCCTGTTTATGGGTTAAGATGCTGACCATGAACCACAGCATCCCTAGTTCGAGTCTAGCTGGGGACTTTAGTTGCATCTCTCTGTCTTCTCTCTACTGGTGCTATCTAATATGGGCATTAAATTCCTAAAAAATCTTTAAAAAAAGAAACGAAATCTATATTTTTTTCAGCTCCTCCTAGTTTCCCAAACACAACATAATTACACCTTATTATCTACAGTATCAAGCTTTTCCATAAGTTCCCTAACAAAGTGAATCTTTTGTAAAGAAAAAATCTGAAGCTGCATATAGCACTCCCGTGTCCTTGTTTAATTAAACTAAAATAAATCAATAAGCAGTAGTGGCTCACACTGACTAATATAACAACCTAAGTAGCTGTTAAATAAAATATTATTAAATTGTCCGCAGGGAGAACAGCAACCAGCAGTCGTCTCTTTCGTCTACCTTTGGGCCTCGCGCTCATCCTTGGGGTTGTAGTTGGACAAGCAGTCCAGGATGAAGATCTGTCCCCACTCTGTGCACTCATTGAGGGCCGTCAGCAGCTTGTTGATGTTCTGGGGATTGAGGTCCAGCAGGTTGCTGTTGGGGTGAGACTCGCTAATCTCGGACAGGGCAGCAACTGCATTGGCCACAACCTAAAGGATGGAGGTGTTATGTTAGGAGAACTTTAAACAGGGTAACTCTGTGGCTATAACTCCATTTGGATTTCATCAACTTCAATTATGCAATTGGTTAAAATGTATCTTTAAATGATGGAGACAATACTCACATGAATTATTTATTTTAGTGGAGGAAAAGATAATTATTCAACAGAATATACTACTTACTTTTATAACTTAACCTTTTTAAAATTTGTATTAAAAATAATAATCTTCAGGCAAAAAGAGCAGAGGTACTGCATTACAGAGTAAAGGTTGTGTGTTTAATGAGTGAAGCTATTCTTTATGTTATCGAATAGTAACTAAACTGATCACGATCCATTAGTGACTGATGGAACGATCACATCGTAAGTTCGCTTTGCATTAATTAAGCAGAGCAGCACAACGCAAAGTCGAGGAATAAAAAGCTTTTGAATTTTGAAATTGCAAAAATATACAGACAAATGAGCCAATCATACATATATGCAGTTGCTTTATTCTTATTTAAGCTCGGCACAAGCCGTATTGGGTAAAACTTGTATCTAGCTAGTGATATACAACATATACGGAGCCTGACCGATTTATCCTTTAGCAGATGTTATCGGCTGATATAAGCTACTTGCAGATACATCTGCATCGGCGTTTATAACAGCCGATATGACTATTAAAAAAGAGAAACAGAGAGTCGGATCCTTCCCTCATGTCATGAGTGTTGCATAGTTTGCCCACTAGAGGGCACGCTGCAGCTCCTGTGTTCAAAACACTGCAGCAGCAAGAGTTCCCAGTGTGTTAGTCATTTGTCAGGTCAAACTCTGTGACTTAAATAATAATAAAAGATGCCTCATCACTTCCCCTCTTACCAGACCAGACTTCCTAACCCTTCCGTTTTTCACTTCCTCTCCGAGCAGTGTGTTTGATAGGTGAGTGGTGGTTACGCTGCTGACAAACATGATTGTAAATTTATTTTTGAAACAGTTCTAGCGAATGGTCCCCTTATTTCTCTCTAATTCATTACTTGTAAATATTCTTAAACATCACTTAACAGCAGTTCACGCTGCCTGTTGCTAAAGTAGCCACAAAGCTGGCTAATACCACATTTATCAGTAGAGGAGCGCTAACTTTAATGAGCGGTTATTGTTTAACGTTTTCTAAATATATCTGCGAGGCGCTTGTCTTACAGTCGGTACGTCTGAAACGAGAGGTTATCTATCTATAAACCAGATGTGAATATGCTACATAGAAGAAAGTACTAATTGTGGCAGATTATATTTAAGGTATTAACTATATTTTATATTTTTTTCAGGGGATATTAATATTATAGCAGTGACATGAGATTTGATATCTTATTATTAGTAGTCGTAGTAGTATATTGGTATTTTTAATAGTTTCTGTTTTGCTGGTCCCCACAATACATACACTATTTAATTTAATGTTCATTAGTAATAGTACACCATAATTTATAACAAATCAGATATTTTTTTAATGTTTTCTGTAGTATTATACATTTGGCTCTTATTTATCAAACATATTTTGTTGTACTTTTGTTCAAAGTACTATTTCTAACAATAAAAAAAGTTTCTTTTTATACAGCATTATGGCTTGGTATCTTGGTATGGTCTCAACATAACAAATATTAGGGATAATCTTTTATTTATGTCATGCGTTTCTTAAAATAAGGGCGGAGAAGAATATCGGCCGATATATCGAGTATATCGGATTTTAAAATCCTCAAATATTGAAATCGGCAATGGACTTAAAAATCCTATATCAATTGGGCTCTAGCATATACTGTTATGTACTGTATATATTTTACCACCGCCGCTAAGTCATTTCCTAGGCAAAAGCCTGCCTCTGCTGCATGCAAATTCTTCTTGGAAGCAACAGAGGTCAGTTGTTGGCTACAAATGTCAATGGCAAACAGCTGACATTAAAATGCTACAAGCACTCATATGTTTGAGTTTAACCTTATCCCCGCTGGGTAGTGTTGATAAGTGGACAACAGACATAAATGCTCAAGTTGAAAAGAACTGACACCTACCATGGGATTTGAGTCAGCAATGAGATCTCTCAGGGAGTCCAGGAAGCCCTGGTCCTCCACCATCTGGGCATTGATGTCATGAAGTTTAGCCACACAAACAGCCGCCGTCTTCCTCACGTATGGGTCCTCATCCTTCAGGCATTTCCTTAGCGGCTCACACAGGTACTCTGTGATCTTGTCCACCCGGATGCAGCCCATGGTGCGGACGGCCAGAGCCCTGATCAGAGGGTTGGGGTCCTCACAGTCCTGGAGGGCAAGACAAGAAAAGCAGTTTTCAAAAGTGAAATTTAATAACTTTCTTTGACTAAGTCAGAGTCATTCTAAGACCTTAGATGTTTCCTTTGTGTATTTAACACACATTTTCAGCTGATTAATGTCGGACAGTAGTAACCAATATGTTTTCCACTGCAGCTTGACTTGATGGGTTTACAGGGGGAAAAACAGCTTTAAAGAATATTCTACAATAATAACAATATAAAGTGTACATACTACCACACTCCTGACATCTCCAAAGAATGTAACTTGAAATTCATGACTTTGCTTGTCTAGAAAGCAGATCTCCAAACAGCAGGACAATCAGGGCTGCAGCTACAAATATTTTCATTATTAATCTGTCAGTTATCTTCTCGATTGAGCATTTTATCCATAAAATGTCATGAAATAGTGAACTACTCAATACTCATATCAGAAGTTTACTGTCACATATGACAAAGAAAAACAAGAAATCCACACAGGTAAGAAGCTGGATCATTAATCTATTATCAATTTTCTGCCAATCAACTGATTGATTGGAGATTATATCATAGGTTTCTCTGACCTGTAGGAACCCTGTGTAGGGAAACTGTGGGAGGCACAGTCATGTCCACTTTACACCAGCTAAATTTCAAAATCCATCTTTTTATTACCCAAGAACTAAGCTTTTTTTTAATTTTTTTTTTTTTTTAAACGCTCAGTTCTCGGGAAATGAATGGATGAATCTAAAAAAAGCTGCCTTCTCATTTGAGTGTGGACAGGTAAAATATAAACAGCATTTTCTTTCACAGTTTTGGATATCCTGGCAGTAATATACACATTTGAAAAATCTAATTAATTTAGGGCCTTGCCTTGACAAAGCTGTTGACGGCCATGATGGCCATGTCAGGCTGGCTCTTGGCGTAGTTCATTAAGTAGAGGTAGACCAACTTCTTCAGCTCCAGGTTGTCGGTCTGCATGCAGTTCACCACATCTGGGAACAAAGAACTGCCAGCAAAGCAAGATGACTCAGTTAGAGTTTACAGTTTGCGGCTTCAAGGCAGTTTTCATCTTGTGTTCACATTGTGAACAATGTCATAAATATGTCACCCTATAGGCCAATGGATACTCTCTTGCAATGTGTTGTCTGGACAGTCTTTAAGTGGTGAAAAGCTCAATAATCTGAAAAGGTTCCTCATTTGTGTAATTGTACAAAACAGTTTCCCGATTGGCCAGATTTGCAAAGGTCTGAAAATGAGCTCCAAATGCTCCACAAGCCATTTTCTCCTCATTCCTAAGTCCACCACTGACTGTGTTCACCTCACTTTTCACTTTTAAGAACCTTGTGTCATTTTGGTTCATGTTTTTTTCTTTTTTTTTGCTTGCCCAATTACAATCGATTCCAGGAACCGGTCCCCAAAGTAGGCGGACACACAATCTGGTCACAATGGCTACATGTTACATTATGTTTCATAAATTTCATGGGTGGACTTTTCACGTTGCAAACCTATTACATGCACAAAAAAGATAAACAATATAATGACAGGGAAAAAGTCAAAAAACATAATTTGACCTCTCTAAGATTAATTTGTGCTATGATTATAATGTTATTTGCTGGACAAAGCACAGTTGATAATTTTACCGTCTGGTTTATGTCAGAGTTAAAATTTTCTGGTGTACCTGACATCCTTGCCAACAGTCATGGCAGCAATGACCTTTTTTACTGCCTCTTTTCTCTTCTCCTTCTTCTCATTGTTCAGCTCTGCCTTCAGTTCAAAGATCTCCCCTGGAAGATGAATCACACAGTGAGTATCAGCAGCAGCATTGTTTGAATATAGTCAGACAGTTCAAATTAAGATTATTTTTCCCACCTTAAAGCAGCTTGCAGTGTTTATAAAAAGAAACTGTATGTTTCAGGGTTAAATAAATTCTTCACTAGACAAATTATAAATGACTTATAACCGGACAGTCCTCACTCACCTTTTTTGTTTGTTGTGAAATATTTGGAGTCCGTCATGATGGTGGGTCCTTAAGTCTGCACAGAATAAATACATTGCATTATGCCATTAGCAATATTTGAATTAATGATTCCCCTTTAACCATTCCCAATTCCACATACATAAGACTTAATTTCTTAATACAATATCAGTTTGTTTTCTCCTCCCTCCCTGATCTGACTTTGACTTAATGATAATCAAACCACACACCATTTCCATGAAGGTCAGTCATGTCTTTTATCTGTGCTGCCTTCAACATGATCTGATGTGGCTGAAATGGCCTTTTCATTAACGTTATTATGATCTGCATTTAGTACATACAGATTCAAATTGGATTCAGAATAGAATCCAGTCCTACATAAAAAACTGGACAACAATACTGATATTATTTTTTTGATATTGTTGATTGTATTTTCCAGTATACATTAATATTCAAATACAGATGATTGTACATTTGCAACTCCCTATATACACTCTCTTTTCTTATTAATCTATAGATCTCAACAGTACATGCTCCTTCTATGAAAACTGTCACACACACACACACACACACACCTGATGTTTCCCATTGATATTTTAGCTTTTTACTGAAACTGCATCAAAACAGTGAGGGAAAAATGCACCAGATGAATCAGTGTTTGCTATCTGGCAGTCTGACAGAACAATTTGTGTTTGGCAGATGCCAAGAGATCTTGAATGCACAAGGCCAACTGTACAGTTAGGTGGTGATGGAATAATAGTCTGGTTCTATTTATTATAGTTTGGGCAAGGTACCTTAATGCTAAAGCACTGAATAAGAAGTTACTTTAAAGTAAAAATGCTAATTAATCAGAAAAGTATTCAAACCTCAACTCTTTTCAAGAGATTGACTAGGGTCAGTACTATATTTGAATGTTACTTTGAAGCAGATGTTCCACTGAAGACTCACTAAATGTGCCAGGCTACTGCTCATTTGTGTAAGTCATTCCATGAGCCAACCACATCACAAACTTGCTCTTTAATACACACTGATATGGTAAAGCGTGCTTCCAACTTTGTGGCAACAGTTTGGGGAGTTTCAACATGACAATGCCCCTGTGCACAAACAAATGTTCATTAAGAAATTGTTTTCCCAGTTTGGTGTGGAAGAACCTGACTGGCCTGCACCTCAACCCCATCCAACACATTTAGGGATGAACTGAACTCAGAGCCAGGTCTTATCACCCATTTTCAGTTCATGACCTCACTGATGCTGTTGTGGCTAATAGGAGCAATTACTCCCTAGAAGCAGGGTCCACAATATTGTGAAAATCCTTCCAAGAAGAGTGGATGCTATAAATGACCATGGTTCTGAAATGACATTTTCAACCATTATGTTTGGGTGAAATCTTCAGGTCTCCACATACTTTTGACCATGTAGTGTAGGTCAATATCAGGTTGTTTATATTTACACATTTATTAAATTAACACAGTACAGACTGGCTTTTGTCAACTAAGTTATGTCCAAAGGAGGTGGTATTATGACTCCAACAGGGCGCTGGTGTTTTGTAATTTAACGTTTGTGGGATGCTACACAGACATGTTACTCAAACTGCCTCTGGCAGAGTTGGCTTGCTTGAGCATTTAGGGTGTGTTTCAATTTTATTACAGGTGCTAGCTAGCTTGCGTTACACAATACATTAGCGTAAAATAAAGTTAGCTGACGTTTCATCTGCTGCCGTAACGTTAACTTACAAACAACTTAACTTATCTCAACGTACATAGAACTAACGTTAGCTAACGTTACATCCTAAACAATTCGTATTTTAAGTATAACGTAACAGTTTTAGCTGTTAAATTATAGACAGCCCTAAATAAGTCGTGACATCTCCAATATTGTGATGTGTGTGTTGCCAAGTTAGCTTCAATTTACTCAAATAACGTTAACAGCAGATTCACTTTGCTAACGTTATAGTTAGCCTGCTCCATGCTAACGTTAAAAGCATCAGTTTAATCACGGGCGGTGATAGCTAACGTTAGCGAGCTAACAACGACTACAACTAACGTTACAACCCCAACTAGCTATGGGGTAACGTTAACCTGCACCAGCAAGCTTTGGGGTGGGGTGTGACTTGTAATGGTATAACATTAAATGTGACATCAAAACAGAAAAGTGATTAGCGGCCCAGTTATCACTGCTGCTGACAGGAGCTATGATAACGTAACGTTAGCTGTGTGATTGATGAGCTACACAGCTGACTGATCGACACGAAATCACGCAAACATAGCAGTAACGGTATAGCAATGTTGAACAGTAAAATATTTAATACCTGGTTGAGTGTAGGTCAGCGGGAAATTTTTTTACGATGGGTGCAAGACGCAAGTTGGTCCCTTGCCTGGTTGGAGGAAGATGGAGAATATGGATTGTGATGGCACGTTCACCGTCATCGGAAACTGGACAACTTCCCTATTGTGTTGAGACCTTCAGACATGGATTTAAGAAATCCAATGGTATGAAGACGTATGCTGTTCGAGTTTATATAGTTTGGATCTGCGAATAGCATGGAAGGCACTAGGCACTAAATATGTGCACAAAGAACTGGCGTTGTGCCGAGTTCTGCATGTCTGCATGCTCATATATTCTGAGAAGAGGTGGATGCAAATCTCGGCCGGTTGCCCTCAACATCTGTTCTGCCGAATAATGCATCTACCTCTCCCACGGTCCATTTTAGACTATTTGCTAAACATTGATCAAATGCGGTTATTGATGACCCTAGACGTTCATAAAATATATACTTCGAATCGTTTATCGGCCCGGACATAGTACACACAGCAGGTTTTCCACGAAAATACAACGGATCTCAGCCGTGAGTGGCTACACTCCCACAATTTCCAATAGTTCTGAATGTAACATGAGAGAAAGCCTTGGATGGGAAGATGTCCTGACTGTCAGAGATCAGCACATAAACTAAGACAATGTTTTAGCCACAATTAACTGTCTGTTTGATCCTCTTGGCCTTGGTATTTTATTTGCAGTGGTGGAAGAAATACTCTAAAATGCTGTTTACTTAAGTAAAAATATTTATAAGCCACTATATTAGAATACTCAAGTGACATGTGGCTATTCCCTGGGCAGTATTTACCTCCAAACAGTTCACACCCTGAAAACACAGTAGAAACGTTTTGACCCACAACAGGACTTAATCACTGCCAATGCCATCCCTGCCACACACCAGTGTAGTAGTTTCTGTACACAAAACATATACGCCTCCTAACTGCGAATACAAAACAGATAGTGGCTATAATCAATAATCAATAGTCATTATTGTTCATATAAAAAGTTTATATTACAGCAAATACGATGCTAATGTTTGAAATAACCAATGACGAATGAACAATTCAAATCTAAAAACAGTTTTATTTTCTTTCTATCAGTTTTCACAAGCCTCACTGTCTGTAACTTGTGAGAGTATTTACTCAAATCTGAGACAAACATTGACTGTACATATAATACAATGCATAGTGATACCAAACTCATTTGGCATATTGGCTTTGCTCCTTATTCAGTACTCCTCCCAACATGTCTTTACAAAGTATAAATACCAATCAGACACTTTTCTTCTCTCTGACTCGTTACATTAGACTATAGTCCTGTTGATAGGAAAACACAGTAAATGTGCAATATTTTAAATGACAACTTTTACTTGCTGGTAATGTCACCCCAAAATAGTTTTTTCCTAAGCCATTTGGCTTAAAAAAATATAAATTTTACAAAATGACAGTCCACCCTTTCTCAAGCCTACGCAGAGGATTCGATCCTGTGTTGGGAGGTGGTGTTGATGAGGTCTTTGGGAAGACTTTCTCTGGCATCTTGCATCTTCCTCCTCGCCCTCTGGAAGGCCTCTGACAGAGAAAAACATACTATAAATAATATATAATGAAAATATTAAAACTGAAATAAATGCTTCTGGTCTACATCTTAAATATTTTGGGCTTGTGCACGGGAACAAACTTGTGTCCTGAAGAGCTGATCTCCCACATAACTTAGGCTTCAAACTGAGCTCTTAACCTGCTGCACCTGAGCTACATGGAATAATAAATAACTCATTCTGAGTCTTTACCCAGGATGGTGCAAACAGATCCTTGCTGGCTAAAGCCTCCCAGCTGGTCAAAAACTTTCTGCCTCCTCTTCTTCAGCATGGTGGCATCAACAAAGGCCCTGAAACATACACAACATGCATACATTAATAGTGAACAGCTACTGTATAGAAAATTAAAACATTTAACTGTATGATAAATTAATTATTTTTTAGAAAGTTTGTACACAAACAAATACTGAGAATACATAAACCATCCGTCTCTGATCAACTGAATGACCTCCAATAATGCACCTTTAACAATGAAGATCCAGAGCATAATAATCCCAGAAATATAATGTCCTTATTTTCCTTTCAAGGCTGGGCATAACAAGACATGGTTGAACCCATCCATTACTTACCTGGCTTGCTGGATGCAGTGCAGATTAAAGGTCACACTTCCTGTGGTTTCAGTGCAAAAGCCAAAGCGACTCAGCCTCTCTCCCTGCAGCCATATACAGAAGAATAAAAATAAAGAGCCCATTCTTCACTATCATTACCAACATAGCATTTGGAGTTGCAAATGCATCAGGAGTGAAATCAAACAAGTAAACAGGAATCTAACAAATCTGTGCATCTTTAAATTCTCCATATCCACTCCTCATCTCCAGAGAGCTTCCACAGATGTTTGAGTCTATTCAATTAAATTTGACTTATATAGCGCCAAATTCATAACAAAAGTTATCTCACTGCACTTTTTATAAAGTATTAAAGATGTGCATGGGATGTGCACAGCCCAGGATCAGAGGGCTCTGCAGCGGGTGATTAAAAATGCTAAGAAGATCATTGGTACCCATCTCCCGAGCGTCAGTGATATCGGTGATGTGAGGTGCCTATGCAGAGCCCAAAGGATACTAAAAAGGACAGTACCCACCCAGCCACAGCTTGTTCACCCTGCTGCCTTCTGGGAAGTTTCTGCTGCCACACCACCAGACTGCAGAGCAGCCCCCCCCCCCCAAGCTATCAGACTCTTCAACTCGAATTCATCCTCAGCATTGCTCCAGTGATGATAGTTTATTTCTGTTTACCATTTTTCATAATTGATTCTTTATTAATGTATATTGTCTGCTATGTAGCAGAAGGGAGTTACAAAACTCAGTTTCACTCTATAACTTGTTATATTGTGACAATAAACCTACCTACCTACCTATTAAAGAGCATTTCTAGACCATACTCTTTGTAATATTATTTACAGAAACCCAACAATTCACCTTGAAGGTCCCTGGTATTCTGATGTAACTGTGGTCTTCAAGCTCCGGAGAACCTCCAATAAAGAAGCGCCTCAGTGCAGACACAGTCCCCGTTTGAAGGGGTCTCCATGTATGGCATGTTATTGTATGTTTACCTGGCACACACAAAAGTATACATACACACACACCAAACATAAAATGTGGGGAAATAAGACCAAGAACATGGAAATCCTTTCTGGGTGAATTAGTGATTACTTAGCATCTACATTTCTAATCCCAACATATATATATAGACTGCCCTTAAATTTTTCTAATGAAAAGAAGCATTTGTAAATGTTAATTATTCCTGAAACAAATGATTGCAGCTTCTTATTTTTATTTTTAAGCCAAAACTTTGCATTGTAGGTAGCTTACCAGACACGGCAGGAAAAAGCAGATAGCCATAGCCTTCAGTTCGATAGCGCTGCCAGGAGTCCAGAGAAAGAACCTTGAAGTAGAGCACTGGCCACTGGGGAATTAACTCTGAAATAGGGAGAAAACACATGTATCAGTATATTATCTCAAATACGGCAGTGTATCATTATAAATAATAATAAACAAAATCATTAATATTTAAACTAATACATGAAATACATTCTCTAAACACGATTTCATGGCTGATACTAACCTTCACCCTCCTTTTCACACATGTAGAAAGCCTCAAAGCTGAAGGGGTAACTGAAGAAAGCTACATTTTCCTGTCAGCAGAGAGAATGATGAGGGTTTAATAAATCTCAGTAGCCAAGTTCTGAAGCTGCTCACCAGTTTCTTGTATAGTATACAAACCTTCCCTAATGTTTTGGTACGGCAGGTCTGGGTAACTCCTGAGAGAGACTGAAATGGTAAGCTGGACCAATCTTCAACAAACAAGAACACAAGTTAAAGTGAATTGAGTTTAATTGACTTAAAGGGTCTAGACAACACTTAAGAATCACAATGTGAACAGTGTCGTAGACTCTATGTGACTTACTATTGGGCAGTTCCATGAAGAAGTGGATGTATAAGTTATCATATTCAAAGCCTTTGGCTAAGACTGGGTAAAGAGAAGGAGAAGATTTAAATTCCAAAGACAGGCATTTTTGAAATATATACAGTAGTGATGCCCACCACAGCTTTCCTTCTCACCTATCTCTCCATTCATCAGGTACCGCAGAACACCCCCAGGAGGCTAAGGGAGACACATATATTAAGCCTTTGCCATATAGACCAAAACAAAAACTGCTGCAAAAGGTGTTGCTAATTTAAGATTTTGTCTTTAGTCTAGTGTTAATATTTGATCAATCATATATTATATATTTGGGTTTGGGACTGTTGGTTAGACAAATCAAGCAACTTGACTATGTAGCCTCAGGAAAACTATAATTGGCACTGATCTGTTTTTTCAAATTATAATCAACTCCAAAAATAATTTGTTAAACGACCTACCATTTCAAAGTCATGTCCAACAAGGCTATTGAGGTACTCCTTGTGCCGTACATACAGCTAGTAAAAGAAAAATAACATATGAAGTAATATGAACATGAACATTAAAAGCTATAGTCCCCAATTCTGCTCTGGTCCTTGAGAATATGTGATGGAGATGACCTCACATCTTTGTACATGTTCTCCTCCCTCTCCTTTTCCTCTGGTTGCATGGGTGTGGATACATTCTCGACAGTGAGACGCCAAACTTCATTCTTCCTCCCATCTGATGCAATCCTGCACAACAGCACACACCGGAGTGGTTTTCTTTTAATTTGTCCAAAAAACATGCATTCTTGGTTTCATCACAATCCATCCAATATTTTTCAAGATATTTCAATCTGGACCAAAGTGGTGGACCTTTAGTCCCTAGTGTGGCTAAAAGTTCATGATACAGCTTTAACTTACATTTCTTCTTGCATGCAACTGTTTAAAAACATGTTGTATCATCTGTCCCTACTGGAGCTACACGCAGTTTCCAGTCATGTTGTGAACTTGCCTGTAGGGCTCTTTGCCTTTGTTGAAGTCAGGTTTTACAACAACTGTTCCACTGCCATCTGTTTTTATGGTTACCAGCAAACATTCATACTCTTTCTGGCCCAGCCTGAGAAAGCAAATATAAAGAGAGAAAATCACAACTAAACCACACAACGCCCACAGTTAGATTATAATTTATGCTGTTAATGAAACCTGCTAATAGCAAAAGGTTCCTTCCAAGACGAACCTTCTAAATGTCAGAATAAAATCTTGTGTTTTTCATATGTTGTGTTTTGTTGTTGTGACCACATTCTTATGAAAAAGGTCACTTAAGTCTGCCGCTTCCTGCTATCGCAAGCTGCTGTCAAAAAGCCACAGATCAGCTTCCTCTAAAAAGGAAGAATAAGCAGAGCAGTAACATTCCTGCCCACCTGAGACACACCATGTTCACTGAAGTCCAACAGCTCCACCCATATGTACATCATTTACGTACTGAGATTTAATCACAATGTGGGCTGAATCAAGTAGTCATTGAGAACAATACAGATTGCAGATTAATACCATGTGGAAACTGACACTAATGGGGGAGTCTGTTTTGTTGCCCATGGGGGACAATAAAGACCGAACTGAATGGAAACAGGGTCTTTGTGTTAATGGTCTTACCTTCCAGGGGGGCTTAGGTCTGCCATGATGTGCATGGCCTGCATGGTACTATTCACCACATGACTGCTCTTCACAAATTCCTCTGTGGGCTCCCAGTTGATGATCTTTGACTTAGGGATACTACAATCCCTGAAAAATACGCAAGACAATCTTATCGCATGACTGGTTATAGAATTATACATTACAAGCGATGTCTTTGAGGACTAATAAGCATCATTTGGATGAAATTTGATCCTAACTGCATTGCATGCAAGTACTGTATATTCCACAAACAAATAGGTTACAAGAGAAGCCTCTGATTACATGCATTTTGAGAATTGACAAACAGAATACAGAATATTGTGTTGTGACCTTGTGTTTCACCTACATAGTGCGTCTGTCCTGCCGTCTGTGTCTCACGCTGGCCATCCTTTCAGCCAGGAATGTGGGGCTGGATTTAGTTGTGGTCAAAAAGTCAATGGAGTGCTGCTTTCAGAATATAAAAACAAACAAGCTACTTACAAACGTAGTAAAAGAAATGTAGAAATTGTGATTTCACATTCATTCTCACAAAGAAAGAAAGTTTATCATGGAATGAGTACTCGACAGCAGGAGCAAAACCTGCATCCTACTGCACTGACAGCACGCACAATGTCTGGAACTGGGGAGAGAAGTCTGGTTCATGTGTAACACAAAGGTGTCAAACAAGGTAAACTATATAAAAATATTACAGTTATCACATATATAAAGACTAGTGACTAGAACACCCAACAGAATAAAATCAAATTCTTTGTCTCCCATCTTTTCAAATTTGTAGTAGAGATCAATGGGCTTGGGCTAAGACTCCACAGACAGGGAAGGAAAATCAGAAAGTACTGAGCAACATACTAACACATCGTTGGTTTTGGTATTTTAATGGAATTTCTTGACAATATTATATGTTGAATAACACCAGGCCTTATCTTTTAGGTCTCCAAATCTCTAGGTCAGACTCTCTCCTCTCTGCCTGCTGAGACGCAGCTGAGTTGATAATGACGCACTGTTGTACATTTGTTAGGTAAGCTAAGGTCGAGCTTATCTTTATTTTGTTTCACTACTTGACAGACTGACTGGCTCTATATAGAAACTGGCGTCTTTATTTGAACCAATAACCAACAAATGTATAGAGTGAGTCTCTGTAGATCTAGTCAGGATAAATATACCCAGACAGTAAGTGTTCTTCAGTTTGGTGTTGGCATTGCATGTGTTCACATGTTGTATGCTGGCACTGTTTCTCCTCAGCCGAGTATCACTATGTAAAGACTTAATCAGTCTCTTAAACTTCTTCATCACACCTGAACCTGGCACACAATATTTCTTTAACAGGGGGTACCTCAGCAAAAATTATCACTTGACACCAAAGACTGTGCTAAATAAATAAAGACATGAATGCACAAAACTCACTTATTCACTTTGTTTGTAATGACTCATATTCAGGCTAGACTTTGATCTGTTGTGTATGCGAAAATATAACGCTGTAATCTAATCTTACTGGATGACGGTGTTAACATTGTAGAATGTAGCATAACTTACCAGTTGGTGGAATGGAAGCCAGCTAGTGTAGCGGTCATGATCAGTGTATGTGAAAATCCTGTGATTTGGTCTACCCTTGGCCCTGTTCAGGGCCTTAACTTCTGTGTGATACTGACGGTCCAGAGGGGTCTGACATGCTGCCTCGTTTTGAAACAGCTCCATCTCATACTGGGACCACAGACAGAGACATGATGGTGAGGAGGTGGGGTAACAGCAACATTTGTTATAACTCTTGACCTTTAAGTTGTTTTCTTTTTAATCAAAACCACATATGAAGTTTCTCTTTATAACTTGGTGTGAGACGAGGACGCTAAACACTCAAAGTTCTACCTGACTGAAGAGTTTCTCCTGCCAGCCCACCACCAGCTCCTCTTCATTATCACCTGGCGAGTAACCAAAATGTCAAGTTATTAAAACCTGCTTTAAAAGTTTAACATCCACCCTAAAACATGTATGCATGTTTAAATACAAGTCATACACCATGTCTGTTATATTCCTGTTCGATAGACAACATAACATCCATTCGTGTTCAAAAGCAACCCATATAGGCAAATATATACACCATCAAGACATATTCTGTTTTGAGAGGCACAACTTATTCTAAACTGCTGTTAGTTGCCAGGAATAACTCAGCTGACAGTTAAACCAACATGTTCTGTTAAGTTTAAAAGTCAGGCAGGGAAATGTAGAAAATCACAATGTTTACTGAAGACCAAGATAAGTGGTGCAACAGATGAGTACAGTGCACAAAAATATGTTAATATAGACAATTGAAGACTGTGCGACTGTCCAGCTGTGTATTTTTTCCAACACAATCAGTCTTTCCCTCTGCAGTAGACTACTTTACCTGTCTGGCCTTGTGAGGTGAGTGTTTCCATTTCAATTGCTCCTCTTTCTTGCTGGGAAAGAATTTGGTGCTGGAGGTGCTGAGAGAGGGCTGCTGTTGAGGTCATCCTCTCTATGCGCACCCTAAAGTGGAGAAACAAATGGATATTGTGTTAACGTGTCTTGAGAAAACTCACCACGAGGTGTGCAGAAATGTCACAGTCCACTGTAAACTATAAACTCCCATCCTTCTGGATAATGTTAGCGTATTGGGGTTTTGTAGCAAAGCTAATGTTAAGATTCACGTTACATTACCATCAGCTACTTACTTTATTCTTAAGTTTTTGACAGCATCCCGGGACCGATACACAGCTTCTCCGGTATCTGTGTTCCAACAGTCTGCCATTAATATCTAACTTAGGAAGTTCAAGAAACGATAACGTTGTTGGTTTGATTTGTTAGCTAGCAATTTCTGTTAGCTAGAGTTAGCACACGGCTATTTTTTTGTCGTCTGTAAACTCGCAACAACGTGCGAATGTATTCGTTAACCGCTTGCAGCGTTTGCAAATGTAAACACCAATGTAAACGAAGAAACAGCTGGTGGAACTGCTTCAACGAGAAGCTAACAGGCTAACAAGCTAACAGGCTATCCAGCACGACAAAAGAATAGTTGTCGTTGCCATAGAGATACGGTGGTAGTTCTTCTTCCTCTTGTTTAGATATTTTGGCGGTTCGCAGACCAGGCTACGCTAACATTACCGCCACCTACTGAGCTGGAATACGGAGCACTGGATTGACTGGAAAAGAGGAAGAGTAAACCACTAAACATGTTTCTTGAAGTTAAATATATGCAAGAAAATCCTCCTAATGTGATGTTTTGTTTGTTATGTACAACATCCATCCAGCCAGAGCCCTCACCCAGTTTGCATTCAGAACCAACTGATCCACAGAGGATGCCATTTTCACTGCCCTCTACTTAGCCCTCACACACCTTGAGAAAATCAGCTCCTACATCAAGATACGGTTTGTGTGTTTCCTCACAACAGTTCAAATAGGTGGACACACCTCCTCCACTCTTGTGCTCGACACCAGAGCCCCCAAGGGCCTTGTGCTCAGCCCCCTCCTGTACACCCACGACTGCATCCCGCGACATGGAGAATTGAGAGGAACTTAATAATCTCATGCACAGATAACAACCTACTGCTCAACCTCAGCAAAACTTAGGAGCTGATCAGTGATTTTTAGGAAAAGGGAGATAAAGACACACACTCCTGTCTACATCAGTGGTGCTGAGGTGGAGCAGGTGAATTGTTTCAGCATCACAGAGAACCTGACATGATCATCTCAAATCTCCACTCTGTTGAAGAAAATTCAAAAACGACTGTATTTCTTAAGGAAGCTTAAGAAGTCTAAATTCCCGTGCAAAGTTCTTGTCAGTTTTTACAGAGGAGCAATAGAAAGCATCCTGACTAGAAACATCACAAACTGGCATGGGATGTTTATATACAGTCTATGGATGTACATGGCCCAGGACCGGAGGGCTCTGCAGCGGGTGATTAAAACTGCTCAGAAGATCATTGGTACCCATCTCCCGAGCGTCAGTAACATCGGTGAGGTGAGGTGTCCACGCAGAGCCCAAAGGATGTTAAAGGTCAGTACCCAGTGACATCGTGTTCACCGTGCTGCCTTCGGTGAAGAGATATATAATTGCTATATATAATTGCTTTTTATTGTATATAACAGAAGTGAGTTACAAATTTAATTTAACTTTACAACCTGTTGTAATGTGACAAATAAATCTACATTGTACCTGATTACATTAAAATAGGTGTATACGCCACTCGGTTGTTTATCTATTTTTTTATAGGCTTGTATTTATTAAGTTTTGAAGTAGCAGTTACACATATACAGTTTAAGAAAGCATAAAATAGTCAAACTGTAGCAAACTTCCCAACCAAGGACCCAAGAAGGGGGAAAAAAACGTAAACAGGGTAACGATATTACATAAATGAGATATGTTTATCTGTCCTGGTTTCAATCGTCAGCTGGCAGGCAGGTGATACACACTCGTAACATATGGTGGCGGTAATGTTATGCTATCGTAACAATTTGACATCAAATGTAAAACGAAGAAGAAGAAGGCACCGGAAGAGGATGCAGTCGCCGACATCTCGGAACCAATCAGACCGCCTGGCGGGTCTTGGGTTGTTGTGGTGACCTGTCACAGTTTTGTAAAATCGAATAACGTTATTGAAGACAATGGCGTCGTTTGTGACTGAAGTGCTCGCCAGCTCTGGCAAACTGGAGAAAGAGGACCTGTCCAGTAAAATAAGCAGTATGTCGCGCAAGGTGGAAGATACAAAGGTAATCCAAGAGCTAGCTTAGCATTAGCTACTTTAATTAAAGTTTGAACTAGCGTTAGCTGTTACTGTTAGCGCCGACATTGATCGGTATGAAACTTCATTGATCGTTTGACTAACGTTTGCTGGGTTTTCATGGTTTTCCTTGAAACTACTCTCCACTGCAAAGGAACATTAGCCAGTACAGAGTGGACTATCCAGCTAGTTAAATTCAGTGCGTTAAGTGCAATTTTGTTTGCAAGACCGTCAGCTAAGTTAGCCGTATGTGGTGCACACTCAGTGTTGACATCTGACTACGTGGCTTGATCAACGTTGTTTTCAGTAAAGTTAAAAATATACAGCGTTAGGGACGATGCTTAAGTTAGCTTCTGATTCGGCAGTAATTTACTTGTCAAAAACTAACACGCATAAGAACAGGTCCAGACAGAAATCCACTAAGGCTAGAGCTGTCAAACCTGGACTAGATTGTCCCAGAGAGGCTAAAGATTATTTAAAACACAAGCTCAGAATTGTGAAACTGAGCCTTAAGGACGTAACTTTATATAAGCAGTACTAGCGTTGCCTTACAATGGGTCGGTTCACTATGAGTGCATCAGAATAGCCAGAAATGAGAATCTTACTCCTTACCGCTATAATAACTATTAACAAGAATCATCAATGAAGTTAATTCTACAATTATTGAATCCGTGATCTGTTGTTTTTATATATGTAATACATTTATAAATAAATTCATCCATGTTCTTTTGTTGATGTCCTTGTGGTTTTCTGTGTAAACACTGTTAAATAGACTGAGTACAGAGTAATTAACAGTATGTTTACATCAACTACTGTTTTACAGGAGGATTAGAGTTATGATATAGCCAACTTGTAGTCATACTCTAATGGCTGTACTTATATACAAATTGTAAGCAGTCACGCCCTTAAAGCAAATAATCTCTTTGTTATTCTGTTTTCTTTGTGTTTTTTTTTTTCATAGGAGGAAGTTTGTGACATGATAAACAAGAAGTATAGTGACTTCCTACCTAGTCTTCAAGGATCTGAGGAGCTTATGGTACAGGTCGATGCGGTCTCCAAAGAAATGGATGTCCTTAAAAATTGCATTGAGACTGAGGTATGTGGGAAACTTTTGAAGCATTACTTAAGTCATCTCACCTTAAAGAGCAGAACAGACGGGGTTCAGCCCTACTTGAGGCAGATTTACAGCTGTGTGGTAGTTTTTTAACTGTTTGGTGTTTTGTGCATCGTGGACACAGGTGCAGCAGAATATCCATGTGGCTGTGGCTGAGTATGCAAAGCTGAAGCAGCAGCTGGAGAAAAACACTATCATTCTAACAATGCTTGGGCACCTAAAAGAGGTATAACATACACAGCAATTTATTAAGTAAAATACAGTTTCAGAAGTCACAAATTAATAGTTTCTGGGAGTTTCCAATTATAAACATTTATATAAAATTAAAGTTGCTTTTCTACATAATGAAATCATAAGGATGATAATATCTTCACTTTCTTTTCTATTAATTTCTTCCTCAAATGAGCTCATAATAAAAGGTTGTCCTAAAAAAGAAATAGAACAGGTCTGTGTAATCCAGATGTAAAAAAAAAAGTTTAGCTCTCAGAATTGTATTAGCAGAGAAACAGATTATGAGCATCCATCCTTTACATGTTTGAGTGTTTCTGTGACTTTTATATCATCTGTGTTACTCAGTTTCACAATGCAATGGAGGAGTTCAGCAAAGCTTTACTGGACAAGAAGTATGTTGATGCAGCCAACCAGCTGGAAACGGTAAGAGCTGCTTACTTAATGTCCACACAACCTTACCTCTGTACTATTAAGCATGGCTGGGCAATTAATCAAAAACTGACATCATGAAAGAGCTAATTTAGATAATTGTGTATGTACGATATTTTTTTTCAAACAGGCTGTCAACTACACTATAATACATATGAAAATACAACAACAAAATCACATCTCGCTCTACAAACAACAAATCACTGTCAGTTAGTGTTGTGTGTAACGTATTGCCTCTTCACCTTTTTTTACCCAGCAGCTTTTTGTGACATAATTAATAGCAAATGCCCAATCTAAAGCCCAGGTTAACTTGTTATAGAAAAGGACTCAAATGTTGGAAGAATAGTAACAGGAAAATATGCTGTGTCTGTGTGCTAAAGGGCATGATTTTGCTATAGTAAACAGGACAAAGAACAAACAAAAGCCAAATAGTCAGAAAATAGGACAGTGTTATAAGATTAGTGCAGCTCCTTTGGGATCAGTGTTTATGTGTCACTTAAAGTGACCGACACCACCTTTCAGTCTTGTAAAAAAGAAAAAAAACATTTATACAGTTACAATAAGCATTCCATATTTCTTAAATGAGCTAGATGTTAAGGCAGAAATCTGACTACTGACGTGCTACATGTATTCACCTATTTACAGTAACCTGATCTCTTAAGTGCATGTTGATGTACTGAAGGACTGATAATATTTTTTCCAGGCAAGGGCCAGTGTGGATTCACTCAAGGGCTGGAAGACTTCCCAGCTGCCACTGCTCAGTGCTCTCAGCTCTGAGTTGACTGTCCAGAGAGAAAACTTAATTTACCACCTGGGAGATGAATGGAAGGGCCTCGTCATCTGGAGATTACCAACCTCAAAGGGTAAGACTTCCTCAGAAAACTGGATGAAATTTTTCAATATCTGTGTCAGATGTGGTTATAATACAACTATATGCTGGGCTGAGTTTAAACTTTTTGCAACACAAAATAGTTTCATCAAACAAAATAAGCTAAAAGTTTCAAATGCAACAGTGTTCAGTGTTGTATTAAAGGTGCAAGAGACTTTACTTTATGTGCATGTTGCAAACTAATACTCACTGGCTCTTTCACCCAACAACTGCATTAATTCCAGTCTTTGTCTTAAAATGTCACAAAAGATTGCTGCGCTTCATAAACTGGTCTTTTACTTGTTAGCATTTCCTGGTTAGGTATGTTTCTAAAACATGGCACATGATGCATTTGTAGTGACTGTTGGATCTGTACTACCAGAGCCCGCAGATGTGAAGTCCTTAATGAAGGTGGAACTGCGCCTGAGCCATGCTTGCAGTAAGGACGGTGAACCAAAACCACCTGCTCTGCTGCACTGCGTCCTGCAGGCTCTGGCCATTCAGGGAGACCTTCATCACAAGATCAAACTCTTCAGTAAGAGCAAGCAGGCATATTTGTTTTCCATTTCTGCACTTATCGGCTGATGTACAGCACAGCGCAAAGTACTGTAGAGTACTGTGTCTGCAGTTACCTAATATCAGCTGATTTATTGTCCCAGTTAATCTATTGATCTAGTTCTAAAGCAAAATGTATCCAAGGTCAGAACCTGGTCCATTAATGGTTTCTGTCATTCAGGTCAGGTGCTGTTGAAGACCATGCTGAAGCCGCTGGTGATGGACCCGTCACTGTCAGTGAGGGTAACAGAGCAGCAGAGTGAGGGAACCATCCTGGCCTTACAGTGTTTGAAGGAGAGCCACGAAGAGAGATCCACTCCTTCACAGGTCTACACCAAACTGCTGCTGGTGCTCAAGACACTGCACTCAAACCTGCTAGGTACAGTATGGTTCTCATTCCCAAAGCAGTAGAACCAGTAGACACCAAAAGCAGGTGGACCATTTTAAAATTACAAATAGTTTTCTCAGTAGTGACAATGAATATGAGATATTAACATCAAGAGACTGTATTCATCATATGTGTAACCATGTTTACCTCAAACTTTTTATTGTTGAAATAGTACATTGAGCTTGAGAGAGGTAAGTCCTAACCTTACTGTTATTTTGTAGATGTTTCCATCGGTGATAAAAAGCTTTCGGCCATCTTGGGGGAGATGATTTGGGAGGAGATTTCCCAGTGCATCATCCACGAGTGTTTGCTCCACTCCATCCCCACCAACAGTAGCCAGCTGGACAAATACAACACTGTATGGACTTATCAACAGTTTGTATAGTATAATGATATGCATAAAATATACAGGGATTAGCTGTTAAGTTTTGTGAGCAGTTCTCAAAGATCACTTAGGCTACGTTCACACTGCAGGCTCAATGCTCTATTCCGATTTTTTTCCCGATTTTTTTGTTTGACAGTTCACATTATTGCTTAAATGTTGCCCATACCAGACTTCAGTGTGAGCTGTCCGCGGCCTGAAAGTGACCAGCATGCGCAGAAGTATTAACATGACGTCACACGTAGCACGCTGTCGTATAGAAGTAAATAGAGCCACAGAGGTTCCTCTCACTTGCTAACGCATATGAAAGTGAGCCAAATCCAAACTGGAAAAGATCAGATTCCGTGTGACTTGACCTGTTCATACTGTTGTAAAAAGATCAGATCTGAGTCACATATGAGCAAAATAATTGGATTTGGGTCAATTTGGTCTGCAGTCTGAACATAACCTTATAGACAAGTATCGTCTTTTTCTTGTGGGGAGATTATTTTAGTCTGTGTAATTGTGTAGTATCTATTGATAAGAAATACATTTTTACTGAATTATTTTTGTTGTTGTACATATTCTAGGTGATCAAGGAAACTGAGGAGTTTGAGAAGTCTCTGAAGGAGATGGAGTATCTGCAGTGTGATTCCACAGACCTGCTCAAATATGCCAGAGATGTCAACTGTCACTTTGCAAGCAAGAAGTGCAAGGATGTCATCGTGGCAGCCCGCAAACTCATGACCTCCAAGATGCACAACACTGTGAAAGTATGTGTGAGCTGGGGCTGAGTGTCTGGATGAATAAACTGGAGACTGGTGAAATGCTATTACCTGAAATGGGAAACAGGAAATATTAAAGATGCACATTATTTACTTTAATGTTTAGTTTAGCTGTTTGCAGTGTTTCCCAGAGGTACTGTTAGTCGAAGTCAAACATAAAATAGGCTGCCTTCTATTTCAGCAGAATGAGAATCCTACATTTGTGCAGCTACTTCTTTATTCTGTTTATCAGTCACATACTTGTGCTCTCTCCTGTCAGGCTCCTGGTATCAGTCAGAGTAATTTTCTCTGGCATGTTGGCATTTTTTCAGACTCTTTTGAGCTCCTCATCATGACATTTTGTGACACCTGCCTGAAATTTGATATGGTCTCTGGCCCATTTCTGCAGTATTTCACTCTCTTTCTTTTTTTTTGTGGTAGCCAAACACAAAACCACTGTGAGTTAAACTTCGCCTCCTAAATACTTTTAGTGCCAAAAGATGCACAATAAATGGACCTGAATCTGCTTGCTAGCCTAGAAGCATTAAGGCTTCAAACATCCCACAATGCAACAGTCTCTTAATGTAATTTGATACAAATACTGGTATTGGAGGTGTATTAAATGTAAAGAGAAAGCTTAATAATACATAAATCTCTAGCCTATCTAGTCTTATACTCAAGTATAAAACAACCCTCCCTTTTTCACACATAAGATCCAGAAAAAATATGTATAATTATGTAATATAATAATAATTAATGAAGAATTATTAATTATCTCCATTACAACTGCAATAATAAACCAGGAAACAAAGGAATTTACCTCTTTTACTGTCTCGCAAAAAATGGGGACTATTGTATTAGATTGCACTATACTGCAGTCCAGCTCTTCATGAGATATCCCCCAAAATCTCCCGATGCTTTTTGTTTGTTGTATTTAGTCGATTTTGTTTCTTCCAATCTTCATCTGTTAGATCACACCAGACTACAAGCTGCGTCTTCCCAAGCTGCCTTCTCCTGGATCAGAGGTGAAAGTGAAGCAAGAGACCACCAAGGAAGGGATTACAATGGAGAACGCAAAGCAGCTGTCTGCGTGGAGTCTGTGTCTGCCAGCCTGCCGCATCAGTGAGTCGGTGCAGCAGCTGATGGAGCTGGCACTAAACACCCTGTGTGAAGCTGTTGGAAGCTCCACACAATGGTATGTTACAGTGCTTAGAGACCAAACTGTCCTCTAAGGGTCAATATATATGCCTAACGCATATACAACACAATAGTCCTACTGTGTTTTTTAAAAGCAAAAAACTCCCCAGACAGATTGTCTTTGTCTCGCAGCACTGTTGATCTATCATCATCACGAAACACTAAAACTACACAAGTCAATACAGCTGCAGCCTACTATCAGCAGAAGTGCAGTGACCTTCATGTTGTCAATACATAAATGAAAGTCCTATCAACATGTCACTCAACAAAAGGTGGATTTTTTTTAAATTACCTGACCTGTCTTTCTTAGGCCACCAGCTTGTCAGAAAATCATCTGTGACTTAGTATTGTAAAATCTAATCTTTTACTGTTATTGTTCTTTTCAGTGCATTGCAACTATTCTTCACTGTGAGAAACATCTTCCAGCTGTTCTATGACGTTGTACCGACGTACCACAAGTAAGGACGTTTCCATCACGTAACATAGGCGATCAAACCAACACATTTCCATTGAAGGTGATCGTGGTTGTCTTCTGTTTCATCCAGGGAGAACCTGCTCAAATTCCCTCACCTGGCAGCCATCCAGCACAACAACTGCATGTACCTGGCCCACCACCTGCTCACCCTGGGCCACCATTTCAGAGCTCACCTGCCGCAGCCTCTCAGCGAGGGCGTTGCAACATTTGTTGACATGGTTCCTGGATTCAGGAAACTGGGTAAACAAATAGTTCCACAACTGTTGGCTACATTTGTTTTTGATGACCTTTCTGAGCTTTCTTGTACTCTGCCATTGGGCCAAAATGTCTACTTCTACATATGAAATATCAATACCTATGCTGCAGTTTGCCTTGAAATATGCTGAGCACCCTTTTGTCAAATTTCTGTAGGTGCCCAGTGCTTTTTAGCACAGATGAATGTCCAGAGAGCTGAACTGTTGGAGAGACTTTCCACCGCTCACAACTTCTGCAACCTGGATGATGAAGACAACTACATTGCAGCCAGCAAAGCAGTAAGACAGGTGAGAGGAAAGCTTCATTTATGGTCAATTTAAAGCAAAATTTATGGTAATAATAACGAGAACGATGTATCATAAAAATGGTGATTCAACTCTTCAACTGGTAATTTGTAAGGCTGCATTGCATTGCAGCTTTCAGGCTGTAGCTATGACTGTATGAGGCAGCTCATCATAAGTCTCACCAAGGCATTATTTTTATACATTCTTTCATCCAGGGATCATCTGTTTGCTTGATTGCAGGTCATCCATCAGTTGAAGCAGTTAGGTACAGTGTGGCAGGATGTCCTACCAGTCGGCATCTACTGTAAAGCCATGGGCAACCTCCTCAACACAGCCATCACAGAGGTCATTGCCAAAATCATGATGCTGGAGGTTTGTCTATTTATTTATTTTTTCATCACAGCCTCTTCATATAAATGTAGGACTTGTCTTATACTGATGCAGAGGTGTTACTGCTGTAAAATGGACATTAAAGGAAAAAAAACAGGGTATCATTAAAACATTTCAGTTTTAAAATATCTCCTGAGCTCTCCAGGGAGCACTGTCAACAATGAGTCTGGGACTAAAATTGTGAGGTCCAGCTGGGACACAATTACGACATATTCAATCAATGAGCTAGTGGCCGGCACAGACAAATAAGTGCTGGTTACTAATAAAGGCCAGGTGAAAAACACATAGGAGGGTTGGATTACCTGCACTGTAATGGTTAAGATAACAAATACAGCATGATTTACATTTAAGTTCAAACTCTTAAGGAATCTTTAACAAAGAAAACACAGAAAGTCATGTTATCTTGATAAGATATGATGATGATGAACTGTCTACTCATAGCATACCTTATTATATCACTGATGATGATCAATAATGTAATTTCTCACCAAACTAATATAACTAACCTACAGGATATTTCCTCTGAGGATGGGGAGCACCTCCACACTCTCTGCCAAACCATCATCGAGGAAGGTCCGCTGGTCTTCATTCCTCTGGCTGAGGAAAACAAGAACAAGAAGTATCAGGAGGAAGTGCCTCTCTATGTGAAGAAGTGGAGTACCTTCAAGGAGCTGGTCATCGTTCTGCGGGCCAACCTGCAGGAGATAGTCGACAGGTAAGAAGGAAACGTGATGATCAAGTATCAGTAAATTATTATATAAATAAATAAAAATGATCTATGATTATCTTCAGGTTTGGAAGTTGTAAAATGCCCTAAATGTGTTTTTTACGTAAAGCAGCTGAAGTTAGTTGCTTTTATCTTATTGTTATCCCTTCTGCACATTTCCCCAAATTTACCTACAGCAGAATGAATGAACTGATATTTTAAATTATAGATTCAGAACTTTAATTAACCAACTCTTATGTATAATGTACTGGTTTTCCAGTTGTTATATTTTATAGATTGCTGTACAGAGACATTTTTTTAAAGAATGGTCAAAATTGAATCTGCCAAGATAGCCTGAGGCTTACTATTAAAAACACTGCCACAGACGACATTATACAAACATTCGTTCATGATGAGCAAACTGAATTTTATGTGAGTGGCCCTTTAGCTATGGAAGATACCATTATACTGCTTCCATCAATGTGTGTGAGTGGCTGATTTGTCTGTGACTCCTCTCCACAGGTGGGCTGACGGTAAAGGTCCGCTGGCGATGGAGTTCTCCTGTTCGGAGGTGAAGAATCTGATCCGAGCCTTGTTTCAGAATACGGAGAGGAGAGCTGTAGCTCTGACCAAAATTAAATAGATACTTGGAGCAAATGACCAGAAAGAACGATACTATAGCACTTTTTCCTTTGAGGAAAATATGATCCATGCCTTATTCATTTCCATTTTCCAGTTGCGTTAAATATATACATTTACATGTATGTAGGTTGAACAGTTTGTCACAGAGAAATGGTTGCCCTGTCTGATGGAGGGGGTGTCGCTGATTATATCAGCTGGTTGTAATCAATCTGTGGGAAATGTTCCTTCTCGGACTGCAATTAGTCCTACAGAGATTACATTAAGGCTTCTTTACGTCAGCATCCCGTAGCCTCGGTCATATAGTTTTGTGGGCTTACCACTACAAAGCAAACTGAGGTTGTGTAAGCTTGCCATCTGTTGACATGTGATGTTGTGTCCAGGGTTAACTTTGCTACACATTATTAATCAAACTTCATCTGTAGCTTGTTTCAGAGGTCTCAGCTTTGCAGTACTGATGTCATTTCAGGAGAGAGAGTTTCTTTGGCGATGTTTATTTCAACCTCAATGCCTCTAAATAACCATTTAGTTCTGACACAGACACCCTGGACCTTCCATCTCTTAAGATTTCTTTTTGTACAAGCCATTAAACTGAACTCTTCTTAAATGTATTTATTACTTGTCCAAATAAACCAAAATACTCAGCTTTTCAGAACCTTTTCCAAACTGTTTGTTTTTAATGATTGTGATGATGAGCTCGGTGGAAAGGGCAGGCCGCCTTGCCAGCTGAGTATGTTGTTAGGAAGAAATTGCAACTGCTTATTCTTTTGTTAGCTGTCATGTAATTGTGGGGAAGTAAATCATTCACCATGTTATCTTTGTGTTGGTCAAAACGCAGACAGGCTTGTGGGTGGCACTTGCGAAACTTGTGCGAGCATAGTTTCTGCTGCATGGTCCTTATTGCTCTGCGACATCAGTGTTTTATATCATTTTTGCAAGACATTGAACCCCAAATTGCTCTTGATAGTCAGGTCACCACCTTGCGTGATAGCTCGCTGCAGTCCATTTACAATTACTGTGGTAAAATGACATAACCTAACAAAACAAGGTATCCTTAACATAAATTGGGCATCCATCCACTGCAGGTCTGTGGTTCTAACCCTTCTCTCCTTTGTGTCCTTGGATGAAACACTGAAGTTTTTCCTGAAGGTTAGCCCAGCACCTTGCATGGTAGCTCACCGCCATTGAGTGTGTGAATGGGTGACTGAGAGGCAAATTCTAAAAAACCCTTTCGATAAAATTTGAATGCAGTCCATTTGCCATTTTGCATTTTACTGTACAGCTGACATGTAGCTTTTGATAATCTGTAAACCTGCACAGGATTTGTTAAAGGCACAGTTTGACATTTTGGGAAGTAGTCTTCTTGCAAAGTTAGATGAGAAGATAATTACCACTCATATCTCATATGAAGCTAGAGCCAAGAGACCTTTGCTTAGCATAAAAAAGGGAACCAGCTAGTCTGGCTCTGTCAAAGGTCAGATCAGCACCTTTTAAAGGAAATTAGGAGCCTTCACTCCACCGCCCCGGTCACAGGGCCCGGCCAAGAAATAGTCCAATGCAACAGATTAATTTTGGCCCTTTTGACTAAATACTGACTAAATAAATGAGATATAACGTGATAATTAGTGAGCTTTAGAGGTCCCGGATAGAACCATCCTAGTTGCTTTATGCTTAAGTAAGCTGACAGAAGTGAACTATGATAAATTGACCTGATGTGATGACACTTAAGGGTAGGTAGGTGGTCGACTGACACAAAGCTGCCAGCGCTTTGGGTTGAGGGTTGTCAGTATTTGCTATATGAGTGACGCTGGGGGAGGAGACAAACAGCTGGACAGTCACACAGCAGCTCCTCGCTCACTCCATGTCTCTTCCTTCATCTGATCAAAACTGATGACTTCAACAAGGATGTTAAGTTCTGGCAGAGGTATGAGATTACTTTCTCTTTTTGTGTTTTGTTTTTATAAATGTTCATATTACCACCATTCTCTATTAGTGTGTCAGTTACAAATAATTTTAAGGAACTAAGGATTCTTTTATATTAGATTAATTTGCAGATTATTTTCTTAATTGATTAATCTGTAGGTGTGAAAACTTTTTAAAAAAAGCAGAATATGCAAAAAAATAAAATAAAATTGTCTACAATTATTAAGAATGAATATTTAGGGTTAAATGGACTGTTTCTTTCAAAGAGGTTCCTTGGGTGTGTTTTCTGTATTCTGTACATACATATTAGTCATAATATGCATGCAAAGTATAGCACTATAACTCTTTTTGCGTTGGTTTATGGATTTACAAATTAGTTAAAATAATCCTAAAGGGTATCTGAAGTTTCTGTGAAGATGTTTTTTTCTTCTTGGTACTCGTCTCGGATATATTTCATCATCCTTATGTCAGGAGGTCACTGCACCCATAATCCAAGTTCTAGAAGCTCGCTCAGATTCAGAATAAAAAAAAATTCATGTTGTAAATGAGTCTTTATTTCCTCCCCTCCCTTCTAATAACTGGAGTAAGAAGTTTTAAGCTATTTAAGAGGATAGAGGCCGTCCTTGATAGCTGGGTCACGTGTGGTGTGGATTCAGAAACGTGTTCACCACTTCTGTGTGTTGTCAGTAAGAATATCAATGTTAAACATTTTCACAACAGACAAGTGAATTGACGTTCGCCGTTCGCCGTTCATTTGGCCACATCTGGACAATACTTTTTCTAAGCCTTCTGACAAATACAGTCGGTAATCTTTTCAAATCCGTTGTGTTCCTTCTGTGTTTCTCCGATTCATTTTGAGGATTAGTGATAATCCCCACATGTGTAATAAATTGTAGCAGTGACTGAGACCCTAAAGTAAGTTCAACATGAAGATAGACTGAGAATGAGAGGCTGGGATCATTGTTTTATTCCCCCACAGCTGAGGCCTTTTTGATTTCTTTCAATAAGGTGTTTTATAATTAGTGTTTTATATTGATTTTTACTTGTGCCCATGCACAACTACATCCTTGGGATGCAGTCCCACCCTCGCGTAACCTAACTTCATGTTATGCTGATGAGGAAGAAAAGCAACCTTCGCTTTTGGCACATCATCATATAGCATCACAGCTCAGGCTTTTCTATAGACGTGTGGAGGAATTGTTCATTAACTTGGAAGGGGAGTAGAATATAAATAAGGGGTTGAGTTTAAAATGGAAAATGTAGTAAACTGTACATGTTGCACTGAACTAAATTCTCAAAACCTCTATGCTCTCACCGTTGTCTAAATAATCATTGTACTCTTAACTGTTTCCACAAACCTTTTGTAGAAGTGTTGAATCAGCATTAACAAGTGCCATTTAACTCTGCTGAAAACTGACTATATATATCATAATTCAGTGTAATCCTATTGCCCAAACAGAAGCAAAACTTGGAGAGGATTCAGCATTTTGAAGAGCTCAGCAATGATCTCCACTGTGATATGCCGCAGGGAGATGCTACAAAACGTTCAGTGCAACAGTCACATCAGAAGCCCTGTCAGGATCAAGCCTCGCAGGAACTCCATTCCCCCGACGCAGACTCTCACTGCTAAACATCTGCTGGCATATCTGCCCAGACCCCTGCCAGAATCAATCCATTACACTCCTTATACTTACAAGGTACAGCTTTCTATATTACATGATAACGTGTTATATGAAGTCCCTCTCCTCTCAAAAATGTTTTGCTTATTGTTAGAAAGCTGTTTCCACATTCATATCAGCTTCACTTTAAACCCTACCCAAACCTGATGTGAATAAAATAATTAACAGATCTGATCCAAAATCCAGCCTGAACAGACCCTGATAGAGAGAGAACATGTGGACTGGCAGCTGCCTGATTTTCATTAATTAACAAGCAGCCACCATCAAAAAGAGCCTGCCTCTAAAAAAACAGGTATTTCTCTGCTGTGATGTATCTGATGCGCTACGTGAAGCTGATAGAGAGTCTTCTTGGGTCCACTCTGGTATTAACACATATTGACGCAGACCTGGGACCCATGGCAATACAATGGGACCTTACCCGACCTGATTAGATGGAATGATTTGGATGCAGCCAGACTTAGATCTTGGGTTAGGTCGAAAAGTCACAAGGAACCATGATGACCTGGAAAGACCTCTAATAAAAGCTAATGATTCAGTCGATTCTGTATACCGAGCACTACTACTCCTCCCAAAATGAGACAGCGACACAAAGCGTGCACAGACCACATCACCAGTATCCACAGCCACATTTTAGAGGAGGCTTTAGAATTGGATGGCCTTCAACAGGCCACAGCTTATGAATCTACTTCTGATTTATTTGGTGTTTTTGTACATTTTGTGAATCTTCTGCATTATTTTCCTTCATTTCAGCTAACAGCTAAACCCTCTGTTGCTTCTACAATGACCTCAAAAAGAGCCTCTCTCATCGACAACTGGAACAATGCTAACTCCTCAACACTCCCACCATCCCACGAGGCCTCTCCCTCCCAGACCCAGAGTCCCTGCAGCCTGTCCTCTCTGGCTCTGACTAATCAAGAGCCCCCCCAACAGCCCACTATCCAAGCAGCTCCTCTGGAACCAGTAGAAGAGACCTCAAAGCCTCCTCGTTTGCATTGCAGCATACGTCTCAAGCGTTTCAGCTCCAGATGGCATTCGAGAGGCTCCACTGGCAGCAGCAACACTCCCATCTCTCCAATAGAGAAGCTGCATGTTGCAAGGAGTCACAAGAAGCGCCGTAAGCTGCTCGGTGATGAGCCCACATTGCACGTCACTGCCAGCAATCAGCGCCAGCGTTACGTCACCAAGGATGGCAAGTGCAGGGTCAATCTGGGGCCTATTGCAGACAAGAGTCGCTTTATCTCAGATATTTTCACCACATTAGTTGACCTCAAGTATCGCTGGTTCCTTCTGGTCTTCTCTATGTGCTACATTCTCACATGGGTGGCCTTTGGTGGAATCTACTTCTTCGGTGCCTGGGTACGAGACGACATTTCTCACGTTCAAGACCCACAATGGAAAGCATGCTTCGAAAATGTAGACAGTTTCCTTTCAGCCCTGCTGCTGTCAATAGAGAGCCAGAGGACTATTGGGTATGGCTCCAGGATGGTGACAGCTAACTGTCCTGAGGGTGCGCTGATCCTGATGGTCCAGTCCATCCTTGGCTCCATAATTGATGCTCTGATGGTGGGCTGCATGTTTGTCAAAATCTCCCGGCCACAGCAGAGAGCCCAGACGCTGATCTTCAGCAAGCACTGCGTCATATGTGAGCGTGATGAGAAGCTGTGCATGCTCTTCCGCATTGGTGATCTGAGAGAGAGCCACATGGTGGATGCCAAGATCCGGGCCAAGCTGATCAAGTCCAGGCAGACCAAGGAGGGCGAGTTCATCCCACTGGAGCAGTCAGAAATCAATCTGGGCTACGACACTGGGGGAGACAGGCTGCTCCTGGTGGAACCTCAGACCATTACCCACATAATCAGTGAAAGCAGCCCCTTCTGGGAGGTGGGGTCTGAGCGTTTGAAGAGGGAGAGCTTTGAGATCATTGTAATTCTGGAGGGCATCGTGGAAGCATCAGGTTTGTAGAACTATTTTTTTTAGTCTTGTGTTGTGCTCCAACAATCATCATGTCCACAGTAATGCAGCTACATTTAAAAATGTTGCATTTTTTAGATTCTTTCCCTGTTTTAAAAGATTTGGAGAGTTGTCAAAGAGTTAAATGATCCATTTCATAAGAGGTGTGGTTGGATGGAAAGACCATAGCCTGCTGCTTGATCCTCAGAATACAGCTCTGATCTCTCTACTCTGACTCTCTGTCTTGTTTTGTGTTTCGGTATCACTGAACAAACAACACAGCTGTTATCCTTAATAACTTTTGCTACACTGATACCTCAAATTTAATTACTATTTTATTCCCAGGCAGTGTTGTAACAACACAAAGAGCAAAACATTTCAATTACGTTAGTGTAGGGCGTTATTTTAATTCTGCACAACTGAAAAAATTTCGGGATAAATCACAATCAGTGCTAATGAGAAAACCTAAAGGAAACTGGATGTGAGAGATTTGAACTGCTGTAATTTGCAATGCCTATATTGTATCGATCATAGAGAAAATTGACGGCAACAGAAGAAATTTCAACATCGATGCTGAGCCAAAGTAGCTATGTTTGAGTGGTTGACTGAAAACAATGAGGGGGCTTTCAGACAGTAAGTGGTTGCAACCTCCAATGTTTCCAATGTAAACAGCGTAAACTGTCTGTAAGCAGAAAATAATTTTAGTGGTATCTAGTATTTACTGGTATATTGTTGAAAAAAACAAAACAATGTTAGAGCAACATTTTGCTTTGAATTTTGATTAATTTGATGAAATTTGATGAATTTTGACCAAGACCAATAAACAATGTTTATGACAAAAGATGGAAGATGGAAATTTAAAGTTCTATTTCCATAATATTGGACATAGGCGATTTAAAATGCTACATTACAATACATATGCCTTGATACCAAAGCTGTTCTGAATGTATCTGGCAGATCTTTTTCCAATAAAGTGACTTTTACACGATCCTCCGGTGTGTTTGTTGTCTTGCAGGTATGACATGCCAGGCAAGGACATCCTACACCGAGGACGAGGTCCTCTGGGGTCACCGATTTGAGTCGTGCATTTCCTTAGAGAAAGGGGCATTTCGTGTGGACTACAGTGCATTTGACAAAATCTTTGAAGTCCAAATGTCCCGACTCAGCGCAAAAGACAGGAGCACAGCAAAGGAACAATGTTGTGTTTTAGAAAATGTTGGCTAAACAAGCAGTGTCTGTACATTAAAATGGCATATATTGAGTGACTTAAAGTGATTGTGATATTTCCTGATAAACTATAACAATGATACTTGATGAATATTAGTTTCAGGGAAGCTTCTGTTGTATATGTAATAAGGCTTGCTCTATGTTTTATTATAATATGCCATTTAATAATCATTTAATAATGTTACATTATGACATTTTTATGTTGTCTTTAAATAAAATTTATTTTGAAAATAAAAATGAACATCCTGCTAAACTCAATTGTCTTTGGTGTAATCTGGGCAATTAAAAAAAGACTGTGGCAAAATAATCGTAACTCAAAGGTCTGCTTTCTTTTTGACGTTTTCTGGGCTTTTCAACTCCAGAAGGTTCAACTCCATGTTTTTTTATTTATGTAAATGGTTCAGTTGACATCGTGTGAACTTCTGTCCTGTGGATGGTGGTCATAGTAGTACCATCAGAAAAATGCACTTAAAGTATGAAAAGTAAAAGTACTTATTCTACAGCACAATTGTCCCTGTCAGTTGTTTTCATTATTAAATGAATATTACTGATGCATAAACATGTATAAAGCATTTTATTGTTGTAGTTGGTGGAGGTAGAATTAATATAATTGCCTAACATATACACTGTTGGGCAGTTTAATGATTATTCATCATATTTTATCATTTGATCAGCTTGATTATATGTTTTTGCAAAGTAACTTACTACAGCTGTCAGATGAATGTAGTGGAGTATAAGTAAAAAGTAGCACCAAATGAAACTGCAGTACAAATATTTACTTAAGAAAAGTACTGGAGTGTCTGGAGTAGTTACCTTCTACTCTGGGCTTGACGCTAAATGTGAGTGGATTTCAGCACTGACAGTGTTAAAGATGCTAGGTTCACTTTAGTTTTTATCTTTTCAAGTAATCCTCTACACCCATGCTCCACTTTTATTATATGCAATAGGAAGCTACTCTTTTTGTGTCTTAATCTGAATAGAGTGCATTTTTTCATTAAAGAGCTTTACACACAACCTTATCAGAGGAAATGAAAATCACCTGGAGTGTTATACATTTTATGTAGTCTTGATTTGGGTGTGTACAGTGGTCATTTACATTTAAAAGGGATGTAATTTCCCAACAACAACAATGTGTCCAGTGATTTTGGAAAACTACTAGCCACAGTGCCTGCAAAAACGTTAATATCAAGCCATATACACTGTTGGGCGGTTTAATAATTATTCATCACATTTTATCATATGATCAGTTTGATCGTATGTTTTTGCCTAGTCACTAACCACAGCTGTCAGATGAACGTATAATATACAGTAGCATCAAATGAAAATTCTCAAGTTAAGACTGTACTTAAGTAAAGTACTGGACTATCTTCTACTAGTCCAGTACTAGCTCCAATTACTGAATATTGTTTATGGATGTTTTGGAAACAGTTTTGATTTTTTTTTGAACTCCCGGCCTTTAGATGGCGCTGATTCGCCAAAACGTCCGACGCCGTAAAATCCAAAGAAAAAGAAGCAGCGCCAGAAGAGCAGCATGATGGGATATGAGAGTCCTCCGGCGGCGCGGTGCCGCCATGTCACCTAGAGAGAAACGTATAGCGCTTCTCTCTGCTTTATGCGTAGTTAGTTTTGCTCTTTATTATATTCCTACTTTTCTTTACGTGACTTTAATTCTTGCAGTTTGTTGTATTGTGAGTTACTATCACAGCGGAGAACCGCTTCCCGCCTGGTTAGGCCTGAATCCGCGGGCTGGCCTGAGCGTCGCAGCCGTGCTCCGGCGCTGGTTGTGGGGCTGGGGGGTGACCGGCGTGTCGGTGGCCGCAAGGGGGAGAACGAAGAGTAGCAGAAACAAAACTGAGCTCAGGGAGCCGGAGGGACACTTCAGAGAAAGGCTCGCTGAAACGGGGATATATCGGAGGGAAACACTGTCAAGTGACTCTTTTCTTTTCAGCCCTCGGGATTTCCTCATGGGGAGTTACATCGGGAAACCTGAGAGTCCGACCGCTGATCCTGGGAGGCCGAGAGCGGCGAGAAACCCCCCGAGAGCAACTGCGGGAAAAGCTGTCCAAACCCAACCATGCAGTTTATACCCCAAACAGGAGGCTGTCATTTGCTGGGTACGTTCATAATTAAATCACGCCACACCAACGTACGCTCAGGGTCAGTTAGGAGGCAGTACCGGTAGAGCTGGGTTCAGTTTCTTGGCGGGTTTTAATCATTAACTCAAAGCCTTTGAAAGGATCTTTATCAGCACACTCAAATAAGCAAACATAGTAAGTTAGCCCTTTTCTCAGTACAGTAGGCTTACGTTTTGGAAGACAACAACATGCCTCATCTATTTGGTTTTGGTGTATTGAACATTCTGTAATATGTAAATGAAACACAATATATTGGAATTTTACAGCGATGAAACGATTCAATTATGGACTTGTTTCCGTGGTTGCCACTTGTGTTTACATTGTGCCAGTGATATTGGATGTCTGAGGTACTGGCATATTAGAAAATGGGAAAAATACCATTTGATATCGATATCGATAATTATCATGATAAATATCAAATCATTATAAGTTTAAAGGCTGAGTTTTGCTCCTTAATGAAAGTTGAAGAAACCAGATGGTTAATTGTTGTTTTTAAACAATTCTTTATGGTCAGAACAAACACTTCAAATTCAAAACAGCTCAAATCTCTTTTCCTCAACAAAATAAATATCTTCATAGAAAAATTAATCGCTAATTTGTAAGTGATTCAAAAGAATTAAATCAAACATTTGTTATAGGAAAGTTACACTGCAATAATTACTATTATTGTTTCATTGCCCAGCCCTGCGATCTGCTCAAAGTGATAAAATGTTTATCCAGGGTAAACCCAGCATTTGATTTCAGTAATTCCTATATTGGAACGGTGCGAGATGTGGAAATATTGAATTAAAATGTTGTTTTCAGTGCATGGAAATATGTTATCATTCCTGGCAGACAGTAGACATCTATGGGATGACAAAATAACTTTAAAGATGCAACCAGCTGCTGGACAACAAGTTTTAACAAATCAAGTTTTAACTTTCCCCTTTCCCTAGAGTAAAAAATGGAGGGCTGAAGTCAGAAATGAGACTCATGATGTAGATTATATAAAAACATACACACCGTGGCTGTATATTTGTTATTGGATGCAGGTTACATGTGTTTACTCTTACATCATAATGTTTTTTGTTCTCAGGGAGCCGCTGGGCACAGTGGGCAGGTTCACCATCACGCCCCAGCGTCACTATCCCCTGCAGCAGTCGGGTGTTTCCTCAGTTGGAGTCCTACCTCCGGTCAAGTGGGATGGCTTCCGGAAGAAAAACGTCCTCAGCCCCCGCAACTCCCCGGCTGTCCTGAGCCCCGTCACTGTGAAGATCGCCAGGCCCGACCACCACAGCACCCCCAGGTCTCTACATTCATGCAAACACTTCATCATACCAGTGTTAAACGATTTTGTCCGTTATCTAGAAGAAACCAGACGCAGTACATTGTTTCAGATTCCAGAACGTAGTTGTTTTTATTCATGTCACTGTGCTTTAAAGGTCAACTTGAATCAGCTCAGATTGGAGACAGATAAGCTGAGACTGTCAAGTAATACATTCATTGACAGGTGTTAAGCGAGTTTTGCATGCCTCCTGAGAATTGCATGCACCTCCAAATAATGCTTTTAAACGCAATAATATCATTTGTGGGGTTGAGCAATGGGTATATAGCCAAAAGTATATAGCCTATTCTATGAACATTTAGAGTCGTTAATATTTTATTACACATTGAGATGAAGCAAAAATATGCAGCGATAACCCCGTTTGATCAGAGCAAAGTATCTGAGAAGGACCTTTAAGAGGTGAACGCATAATTCGGCAGAACAGATGAGGAAGGCTAGCTGCCGAGATTTGCATCCACCTCTTGAAATTCTCGCAGGTATGCAGAACTCCGCACAACCGGGCAAGACGCTGACAGCAGAAACAGCTGATCAGACGTGAGTTACAAGTTCGCTACGTCAGAACTTATTCGGAAAAAGTGTTTCCATCTCCCATTTAGCGCATTAACTCTTTTTCGACAAAGGCAAAAACCACCGCAATGAGTGCAAAAACATTTTTGCGAACATTTTTTTTTTAATTTTGCCGTTTTCATCACCCTTTTCTTATGCGATACTTCAAAATGCGTATTAATTATTAATGAATAATAGATTATTTGACAATGAAAAACCCTGGTGATTGTTGATGACTGGTGTTGAGAGAGAGAGAGAGAGACAGAGACAGAGACCAGTGTTTAGTAAATCCCAATTTGTGGGGTGTGTGCTGAGGATTTGCTGTTTGACCAGAGCTGTATTGTTACCTGTTTTGTTTTTAGTTTGGACCATCTGAGTTGTGCAGGGCTCCCCAGGGCCTCCGCAGACCCCTGCTCCAGAGAAAGTGTCCTCAAGGTGTTGAAGGAAAGCCGCAAGAGAGAAGTGGAGGATGAGGACAGAACCTTCGCAACTGAGCAGAAAAGCAAAAGAAGGTACAAGGCTGAAAGGGATCTCTGGAAAGACCACAACAATGCTAGCAAGCTTCCCCACTGGCACTGTTGGGTATTGTAGCCAACCCTCAAGAGCATCCCACATCACTTCCTTTGATATGGGATGATGGAACCAGATGTAGATAAAATGTTAAAACCAGGTGGAAATGGAGTCTTAAAGGCCAAAATAAATGCTAGAGATTCAATGTAGTTTTTAGCTGACAGATCACAGCAAGAACTCCAACATTGGAGTTTCTATATATTGATCCATCAAAAAATATTTAGAGAAGGAACTATGTGCTTGGAGTTTTTGTATTAAGCCGCTTTAACATGCACACGTTTATCTTAATCCGATAGCAATTTCCATATTACTTTTCACATGGCACAAGTCTGAATAGTGTCCGATTAACGTACATACAGAGAGAGAGAAATGCGCGTCTTCTACAACTTTCTGACATCTCCAATGAATCCATTATCATCTCTTATGCTCAAAGAAACCGCCAATTTAAAGTTGTTGAGGAGACACTTTTCAGTTTTTATTTATTCCAACTGCATGGATGAATGAATGAATATACAGCTAAATGTTTAACATGCATACATCA